TTGTGTTTAAATGCTTAAAAAAAAAAAAACATATTTAGGTGTAATTTTGGGGGGCCGGGAACCAATTAATTGGTTTTCCATTATTTCTTATGGGAAAAATTCCATCAGAACTCGAACTTTTTAGGATTCAATCCGGAGTCCGGAACGGATTAAGTTTAAGAACCGAGGTACCACTGTATATATAAACATTACTGTCATATCATACAAAAGAAACTGCAAATGAATCATTGATTAGAAATGTTAAATGTTAATCTACTTCTGTAATTTGATTGCCTTATAGAAGTGTTTTTGATTACTAGAATCATAATAGGGCATCATGATAATCCCATCATTTGCAAAAAAAAAGTTATGAGTTCTTAATTTTTTTGCGACACTTGCTCCAATTATAGCACTTAAGACGTTTTCATGACATGCTTTTAATTTTAATGCCATTTAAAGTTCCTGGGCCCAAAAACTTGTACCTCTGAATCCACAGGAAGAACATGAAGCCGATCTTTCGTTTCTGTCTTTGCACCCCCTTCAAACTCCCATGAAACCTTTGGGGTAGGACGCCCATTGAATGTTGCAGGAATCTTGATAATGGAGCCAGCCCGGCAGGACATTAATTCAAGTGCATTGACATCAACAAAGATAGTAGGCTCCTCTGGAAATAAAAAAGCATTATCAGCATCATTGTGACCAGTACATGTGGATGCATTTTTATAATCTCATGGTTGTTACCTTGAAGCTCCTTGATCAGAACTTCTGTGGTTCTGGGGCTAGGCTCAGATTCGCCAATGTCATTGACAGCAATCACTCTGAATCTGTACCTCTTCAGCTCAGGCAGATTTGGCACAGTGAATTCAGTGGTTGGATGCAATGCATCTGGCCCATTTACTCGTGTCCATTCTGATGTACCCTCGTCCTGTTTTTCAATGATATAGCCTTTGATAGGACTGCCACCATCTTTTTCTGGGGGTGTCCAGGTAAGAGTGACGCTATTCTTGGTTTTATCTGCAACCTCAGGGGTAGAAGGCATACCAGGAGGATCTGGGAAACAGAACAAAATTAAGAAATGTTAAGACAAAATAGTGTGATTTTTCCAATGGAATATATTAAGTAAATAATTTTTAGCACTCTAGCTAGAGGGGTACAGCATATCATTCTGAAAACAAATATAGTGCCTAATTAAGACAAATGATAATTATTCTTCAGTTTAGCTTAATAATAAGGTCTAGGGCAATAATTGGTATTTAATAGTATTTTAACATTTCCACCTATGTGGTAATTCAGAATACGTATTTATATATTAAGCACGCTTCTTTAATTATTAAAGAAAGACAGAAATACCAAACTCCACTCACATGTAAAAACCCAACTGAATATACATATGCATTCTTAGGAAAGCTATAATACAGAACTATATGACATTGTAAATTTCACTTACACAGAGGATCAACAGCTAATGCTGGGTCAGATGGTTCACTTGGCGGTCCAGTTCCACCAGCATTGCAGGCCATTACACGGAACTGATACTCAATACCCTCAATAAGACGAGGAACACTGAATTCCCAGCCTTTCAAACCACGTTTTGAGATAGGGGCTCTATTTACTCGAGCCCAGTATGCTCCTCGTTTCTCTTTCTTTTCCAGCCAGTAGCCTGTAATAGTGGATCCTCCATTATCTAAGGGAGGTTCCCAAGTAACCAGCATGGAGGATTTTGTGTGCTGAGCAACTTGTGGTTTCTCTGGTGGACCAGGGAGTCTAAAAGGATCCTTAGTGACAACTTCTTCTGATTCACAAGCATCACTGATACCATACTTGCTCTGAGCTTTGACCCTGAACTGATAGGTGCCATCAGTTTCCAGGTTCCACACCTTAAACACATTAAAAATAAGTGGGATATTAAAATACATTATATAACTTGTTAATTTTACCTATAATAAACATATATAATATTTTATTTTTCTATGCTTATACTAACCCCAATTTTCCTGTCGATTACACAGTTATTCACTGCTTCCCACTCTGGTGTCTCTTTGCTTTTATCTTTCCTTTCAACAATATAGTTTGTAATCTCAGTGCCTCCATCATCTACTGGTGCATCCCAGTTAAGATAGCAAGATTCGGCTTTGATGTTAGAAATCACAACATTACGAGGTGGTGTTGGGCGGTCTGTGGGATTGAAGAACATAAACATAACTATCAATAACTTCCCAGTTACATAATAATCAAGCAGTTATTTTCATGAATGAAACCTACCTAGTACATCAACCCTGATAGTGTGATGAGCAGATCCAAGAGCATTTGTAGCTGTTATTGTGTAGTAGCCTTTATCTTGTCTTACAGTTTCGGGGATGCTAAGCTTGGCATTTGCTTTCATTCTGTGAACTGTCTCAGATTCCATTAAAAGTGTTTTAGTTGGTTTTGGAATAACAACTTCATCCTTTGACCATTCAATCTTTGGTAATGGGAGACCGGTCACCTCAGCCGGAATTTCTATGAGCTCTCCCCTCTTCACAATGATTTCATCCGCTACGAAGCGCTTCAGCAATGTCACAACTGGTGGAACTATAATTTAAAAAATACATTTTATTTACCTGTTCAAATTTAATTAATATAAATATTACTGTACATGTATCATTCCACAAAATAAACAAACCTTCATCATCTTGAATTACTGCAGTCAATGGTAGTGAAGGGTCACTTTCACCAATTTCATTAAATGCCTTCACGCGAAATTCATATGTGTGGAACTCAAAGAGGTTTTCTACTGTAAAAGTGAGATCCTTGCAGGGTTCTTTATTGGCAGGTGTAAATGCAGGCTCATCATGCCTTTTCTTTTCAATATAGTAGCCAATAACTGGACAGCCTCCATCATTACGGGGTGGCTTCCAATTCAGAGTAATGGATGACTTGGTCCTTTCAATGTACATGAATCTCTCTGGTGAAGTTGGTGGACCTAATATTCATAAAGAAACCAGTAATTAGACAAATATATTTTCATCCAACAATCTTCAATCAAAGCACTAATGGTTCCAAATTACCTTTTGGATCAACTGCAAGAATAGGCTCCAATACCACAGGAGGGCCACAGCCATGTTTATTCTTTGCCATTACACGGAATATGTATTCTTGTCCTTCAACGATACCCCCAATTTCACATTTAGATGCAAAGGTGTCTATGGGCTGTCTCCATGATTGCGATTTTTTGTCCAGTCTTTCTGTTACGAATCCAGTGAGATCACTTCCACCATCATCCTCAGGATCGGACCAATTTAGTATCACCAACTTTCTTGTAATAATAACAGGCTTCAATTCAAGCACAGGGCCAGGAACGTCTGATGAAATTCAAATGGCGTGTTATTTAAAATAACATTATAAAGTAAACAACATAATTTAGACATATTATTAGTACCAGGAGGTTTTTATTACCATAGACTTCCACTCTGGTCCATGCTGATTTGGTTCCACTGCTGTTTGCAGCAATAACCTGGTACTTGCCTTCATCCTTCCTCGTGATATTTTTGACTATAAGTACACTTTCCTTGCCTTCACCTTCAATTGCAACACGGTCTTTATTAGGTGTACCATCGTCCTTTGTCCATTTCACATATGGTGGTGGTCTGCCAGTTATATGTGCAGGCAGCCTCAACGTCGTCCCAGCTCTGATCATAACATTACTCTTCAAAGACAAGTCAAGCTCGACAACTGGAGGCTCTGTAGAAGTAAACGATAAATTAAACTTCTTTGTTTTAGCAAAGCATGTGATCTATGCTATTTGTGAATGTAACACTAGTTACCTTGTGGATCTTTCACTATAGCAGGTTCAGTCATGCCGGGGGGGCCTTCACCTGCAGCATTGACAGCTATGACACGAATAATGTATTTTGCACCTTCTCTAACTCCATATACTGTAAATTCTTGGCTTTTACATGGTCTCTCTGTGTTACGTGACCAATCATTTGATCCTGCTAGGACCTTGTCAACATGGTACCCAAGGATGTCTCCACCACCATTGTACTTGGGAGGATCCCAAGCCACTTCAATGGAACAGCAAGAAGTATCAGCTATCCTTGGAATTGGTGGACCAGGTGGCACTTAAAAAAACAACATTATCACATTGTTACATTATTACTATACTTATTAGTAGCAGTAGTAAAAGTAGTAGTAGTAGTAGTAGTAGGCCTATGTTGTTACAATTATATTTACATATCATATATTAAAATTATATTTTAATATAAAATAGTCCTTTAACAGATATGTTTTAACTTACATATAGGTTCTTGTGCAGTTTTGGGATCAGATGGAATGCTAAACTTCCCAGGTCCAGCTGCATTCTCAGCACAGACTCTGAAGATATATGTCATGCTTTCAGTCAGACCTTCAGCATTCAGTTCAAGTGTGTTGATCAGATTTCGGTTAACTCTAGCCCAGTGTTTGCTGTTAATTTCACGTTTCTCAACCCAGTAACCCACAATAGGGCTACCGTTGTCTTTTGGCTCTTTCCAGGTAACAAGCATGCTGTTGGAAGTGATATCTTCAATTTCAGGCTTGTCAGGGGCCTCAGGTGGATCTGTAATAGACAATTATATAAACTAGATGACATTTCAATCTATCATTATTTGAAATATTTTAGTACTATAAGTGGGTGTAGAAAATGTATGTATGTATGTATGAATAGATGGATGGATGGATGCTTAAAATGTCTCACCAAATGGATTTTTAGCAACCAGTGGAGCTGACACACATGGTGCTCCAGGCCCAAACTTGTTTTCAGCTGTGATCCGGAAGATATACTGTTTTCCTTCAATCAGTTTGGTCACTTGGAATTTACAGACTCTTAGAGTTGAAGTCACAGTAACCCATCCAATTTCAGCTTTGGAGTTATCTTTTTTCTCTAAGATGTAGTTCAGGATTTCACTACCACCATCATCTACAGGTGGATCCCACTTGCATAGGATTGATGTGTTCCTGATTTCCTCAAAAACAAAGTTAACTGGAGGTCCAGGTACATCTACAAATTCAAAAGAATAAAAATACATTAAATAAATTATTAGGGCAAGAAAATTCAGTGGCATCCAGGAGACAAACTTAATTGTGATCTTCAGTGGTCATATTCGAATATAAAAACAGTACTCCACATCATGAAGCATTTGCCACAGATTGAAAAAATTGTACATGCCCTGAATACAGAGTTTAACAAAAGATATGGTAAAACTGAATGGACGGACGGACAGACAGACAAACAGACAGACAGCCAGATGATTGATAGATAGATAGATAGATAGATAGATATATATATATATATATATATATATATATATATATATATATATATATATAGATGATACTTCACTTACCAAGCACATTGACTTCACAGGATGCAGAAGCAACTCCATGATCATTCTCTACCTTGATCATATACTTCCCATGGTCACTTCTGACACAATCATGTACAAGTGCAGAGGACTCGCCCTTCCTGCTGATGTCGATTGAAAGACGTTCAGGGAGGGAAGGGTAAGAAGGTTCCTCTGGTTCAGCAGAGACATCAGTATCTTTTTTCTTTTTTGGTTTCTCAGGCCGTTTTTTCTTTGCCACTGGTTCAATATATCCATTATTCCAGTACCATGATATAGTTGGGTATGGAGATCCAGATATGCAGGCATCCAATCTTATTTCCCCACCTTTCTTGACTGTTAGACCAGACTGTAAGCTTCCACTCAGGAAAACCTTAGGTCGTTCTGAAAACATATATATATATATATATCTATATAAGTATTTACCTTCTCAGATATGTTTACTGCAAAGTTATTTATTGGACATGTGTCTACTTACCAGTAGATTCAGCAGCCTTAACCAGTGGACTGCTGCGAGATGGATCACTAACACCAGCGGCATTTTCAGCCCGAACACGGAACTGATATTCCTTGCCCTCATTCAGGTTCTTAACAGTGTAGGACAACACAGGCACAAGGAAGTCATTGCATCTCTCAAACTTCTCAGACCCCTTCATTGTCTTCTCTAGGATGTAGCCCATGATTTTGCAACCACCATCATACATTGGAGGTTTCCATGTAAGAGTTATAGACTCAGAACTAGGATTGTGGGTTTCAACATCAACAGGTGGATCCGGCCGTTCTGAAAGATAATGAGTCAAGAATCAACATATATGACATATAAAAACTTAGAAACATTAATTATGGATTCATATAAAACTTACGCTTTTGATCCTCTGCAATCACAGGGTTGCGGATCTCAATAAACTCTCCACCACCAATCTTGTTAACGGCTTTAACACGGAAGTAGTACTCTCCATTAGGAATAAGATCTTTAACAGGCCAGCTCAATTTGTTCTCTCCTGACATAACAGCAACATATGTGCGTCTGCCAGCCTCTCTTCGCTGTACAACATAGTGAAGAACAGGACTGCCGCCATCACTGTCGGGAGGTTCCCATGAGACTTTGCAGGAATTCTTTGTGACATCACTGGCAACAATATCTTTGCATGGTCCAGGAAGACCTGTGAAAAAATGAAAAATAAATTGAACAGAATGCAAATGGATAATAATTAGCATATTTTTCATTAAGTATTTGATAGCAGTTCTTACCAATAACTTTAAGGTTGATTGTTCCTGTAGTTGAACCAAGTTTGTTCTCTAGGGTAATAGTGTACAAACCAGCATCAGCATGCAAACATTCTGTAATTTCTAAGTGGGCAGCAGTGTATTCAGAAGTAAAGATACATCTTTCATCAGCCTTTAACTCCTTTCCATCTTTGTGCCAAGAAACCTTAGGTTGTGGTACAGCTCTGTATGGGATGGGGAGTGTCAGTTTTTCTCCTTCCACCACTACAACGTTCTGAGTTTGGATCTCCAAAGTAGGGTTACCTATTGAAGACCAAAAAAGAAAAGAAAAATATCACCGTATTAGTCAATGATAATAAAGTTTTGTGCTGTATAAATTTTTTTGAAGGATACGTACAGTCAGAATCCTTAGCAAAGACATTCTCCGATATGTCTGAAGGTTCACTGACTCCAACAGAATTAACTGCACGCACTCTAAAGATATATTCTTTTTCTGGAATTATGCTTTCTTCTGCTTTATATTTTAGCTCTTTGACAGGACGTGAATTGACTCTCATCCACTTCTCAGTTCCTGCTTCACACTGCTCAATATGATAGCCCAAAATGGGACTGCCACCATTCTTTTCTGGTGGTTTCCAAGCAATAGAGATGTAGTTTCTGCTGGCATCAGTGACATGCAGTTCCAGAGGAGGAGATGGAGGACCTAGGTAATTTGAAAAAATATCATGGTAATATGACAAACACAACAACAATGTCATTAGATTCTCACTCAGTATTTCCAGTACCAACATACCAGTTGGATCTTCAACTGTAATGATATCTGTTGGTTCACTTGGGTGCCCAACTCCGGCTTCATTTTCAGCACAGACTTGGAACTGAACATCAGTTCCTTCAATGACATCTGTGACTCTGTATTGGCAATCGGGTCCTGCTGTCTTCCCTGAACTCACCCAACGAGTTCCAAGCTTTTCCTTCTTTTCTATGACATATCTACCAGGACATAAAAAAGATTTTAATTTTTTTTTCTGGACATCGTCTTATTGTGCCCTCAAAATAAATATAAATCTATGAATATCAGTTAATGTACCTTGTGATTGGTCTTCCACCATCGTTCTTAGGAGCTTCCCATTTCAGATCAACATGTGTCTTTGTGACTTCCATAACAGTTAAAGCATAAGGTGGTCCAGGAGTAGCTAGAGCAAAGAAGTAGAAATATGTCTTGAGTAACTCCATTGTACCACAAAATAGCAGCTGCAATGAAAAGTCAAGTAAAAAAAATCTTACTGAAGGTATCCTTGGCTAGGACAGAGTCCTCAAGTTCACAGAAATCACTCTGGCCAACAGCATTCTCTGCTGCCACACGGAAAACATACAGCGAGCCTTCACTCAGTGGAGTTACACTGTATTTAGTCTCTTTTACAGTGGTGTCAACTGCCTGCCAGCCCTTGCGCCTCACATCTCTCTTCTCCACAATGTAGTTCGTTATGGGTGAGCCACCATCTCGCTCTGGTGCTGTCCACTTAAGGTCAGCACAATTCTTGCAAACACTAACCACATTCAGCCAGCGTGGAGGTGAAGGAGGATCTACCATGTAAAGAGAAAAATTTGACATAATTCATATAAAATCATAATTGTTTACACCTCACAACCCAGACCAGGATAAGAGGTTAGAAGATGGATGATTGAATACTTATTTACATGGTTTCATTCATCTTGTTATCAAAACCTATAAAGCTTCAGGTTTTAAAAATACATATTCAAGTTCCTATTTATTTAAGTTTCCGTTTCCATTGGAGTTACAGCAGTGGTTTCCACAATAATGCAGCTAAATGGCTTACTCAGTCTCTCCTTGCAGAGCACTGGATCACTGGGATCACTGGGTTCACTTTCACCAGCGATATTAACAGCTCTGACCCTGAAGGAGTACTCTTGCTTCTCCATCAGACCCTTAAGAAAGTACTCAAGCATGGTCACACCCTCAGCCACACGGACCCAGTCAACAGTTCCACTCTTAAGCAGTTCAATGACGTAGGATTCTATCTTAGCTCCACCATCATGCTCAGGTTTAGTCCATTGCAGGAAAGCTGAGGTTTTAGCAACATCTTTAACTGTAGGTTTTCCCGGAGGCCATGGAGGATCTGAAATGGGACATAATTCATAACCATTTTTTTGCAGAAAGATGGGTGAATCAAATAGAAGGTAACACTGGTTGAAATTAACATTAATGAATTACCAATTGGATCTTTAACCAAAACTGGATCAGTTTCCTGGCTTGGTTTTCCAAGTCCAGCAAGATTCTCAGCAGCAACACGGAACTTGCTCTTCTTCTTTGTTGGCAGCCCTTTTACTCTGCAAATGAACATAGTATTATTAACAACGAAGAAGAAGAAGAAGAAGAAGAAGAAGAAGAAGAAATGTAATCATAAAAATTCTACTTGACCCAGTTTCTAAATTCATACCTAAATGTGGTATCTCTGATTGGCAGCTTGTTACACCTTATCCACTTGTCATTGTCTGGATCTAGTCTCTCAATCCAGTATCCAGTAATAGGGCTGCCACCATCTTCATCAGGTTCATTCCATGTAAGTGTTAAAGCATCCTTGGCAACATCAGAGGGCTGGAGTTTTGTTGGAGAACCAGGTGGATCTACAAAAAACAAATTAAAAATGTAAAACAGAAAATAGAAAACAAAAGCTTTAAAATATAACAAATCAATGTTATTATAATATAAATTACGTACCAAAAGAGTACTTGGCAACAACGGGCACATGTTCCACAGAGGGACCAATTCCATATTGGTTCTCAGCAAAAACCCTGAAGACATATTCTTTAAGGGCCACCAGATTGCAGGCTTTGAATGTGGTCTGCTTAACTGTAGAGGAGAGTTTGTGCCAGACCTGACTCTCTGTGGCTCGTCTCTCAACTATATAATTAGTAACTTTTGAGCCACCATCATCTCGAGGAGGATTCCAGGCGAGGAAACAGGATTCATTGGTGACATCAGAGATATCAAAAGCAGCTGGAGGGCCTGGTTTATCTGTAGGGTACATTTTAAAACATAACAGTATGATCATTTTTTAAAAGAAAGTTTTTTTAAAAAGTTACAAAAAATCAGAAAACAATACTGTACCAAGTATGTTAACATCGACAGTTGCAGTAGCACGGCCACTGCTATTAACTGCCTCAATGATGTAGGTAGCTGTGTCGTCTCTTGTTGTTTTGGCAATAGACACCATAGAATGGCCAGGTTTAGTGTCAATTGAAACTCTATCATCTGGCTTCAGAACAACATCAGCCTTGGTCCAGGTGACTTTGGGTTCTGGTTTGCCAAGCACACCAGCAGGTAGCTCAATCTTAGTTCCAGCCTTGGCAGTCAAGCCAGCAAGCAGCTTTACATCTAACATGATCTCAGGGGGCTCTGTGTAATGGAACAAAAACACAATTAGCTTCCTGTAAAAATAACAAAGATATAATTTTGTATGTCATAATGAATATACCTTTTGGATCAACAGCCAAGATTTCATCTGTTGCCCTGCACGGTTGACTAGCACCGAGTCTGTTCAGAGCTCTGACACGGTAAGCATACCATTGTCCTTCAGTGAGGCCAGTAACTTGGAATCTGTGAAGAAATAATGATTAACCTCTTCATTGCATCACACTACCTACTAAATCTGAAAGAAACATACAGTTATAGATTATTTCTACTTACTTTAGCTCAGGTATGGGATCACCACATGGTTCCCACTTGTCAGTGCCACGCTGGCACTTATCAACAATGTAGCCTTTAATTACAGAGCCACCATCATATTTAGGAGGCTCCCAGGATAAGAAGATTCCAGTAGCAGACTTATCTCTCCATTTCAGGTCCTCAGGTGGGTCAGGAACAGCTGGAATTAAAGTTTATAATGTCACAGTTCCTCAAATTCTACAGCATTTTATTTATCTGAATATGGTCAAATATAAGCCAATTTATTAAATTAGATTAATTTAGGCTAGTCACTTACTAGCTGGGGAGGAGACATTAACTGGTTCCTCAATGTATGCAGGCTCTCCTGGACCACACTTATTACAGGCAGTAACTCTGAACAGATACTCTTTGCCTTCAATAACATCGGTAATGGTGTATTCCTGATCCTGTATACCACTGATAATCTGAAATTGTAATATAACAGGTTAACTGGCAGGATCACAAAACGTTGCTATAGTGTATTATTATGTATATATTCCATAAATTATTTTGCAACAAAAGTTTTAAACTGTACATCCATACCTTCACCCATGTTTTACGTGATGCTTCACGTTTTTCAACCTGGTAGCCAGTTAATGGACTTCCCCCATCATGCTCTGGTGCCTCCCACATCAAATGTACTTGACGCCTGGTCACTTCTGCAACTTTGAAGTCTCTGGGTGCACTTGGGGATGCTAAAAAAGTCAAGAAAAACAAGAATGATAACTTTTTCTTTAGCCCTTAAGACATAAGAGTTTATTGTTCTAAGACTGCGAATTCATATACCAATGACATTGACGTCAATCTCTCCAGAGATAGTGGCTGCATCATTTTCAAGATGGATAGTGTAGATGCCCTTATCTGGGCGGACACTTGGAGTGATGATGAGTTCCGTAAATGTGCTTTTGGTGACCATGGACACTCTGTCTCCTGCAGCCAACTCCTTGTCTCCCACACTCCAGTGGGGAATGGGCAAGGGGTATCCAGTAATTGGGATGCGGATAGTGAGAGGATGAGGGACGATTACCTCTAAACCATCCTTAAAAGCACTTAGATCCATAGTAGGGGCAACTACAAGAAAAAAATAAAATCCACATTAACAAATTAATGAAATTTAAAAAACTGCTGTATGCAAAAATATAGTTTCCATTTTTCCAAGCAAAACTGCTTTTTACGTACCATGTGGATCATCGGCCACGAGAGGTCCAATCTGGTCAGCTGGGTCAGAAACACCTGCTGCATTTTCAGCTGACACTCTGTAATGGTACTTTTGTCCTTGTTTCAGGCCAGTCAGCTAAACAAAAAAAAAAAGAAATGAAAGAAAATAAAGAATTATATTTATGACATTATGAATGCCATATTTACTTGTAGACAGGTATTAATCAGAATAATTTTTCAGTTCTTCACGCTGCTAAACGATAAATACATAATATACAGTAAATACCTTATAACTAAGGTCCTGGCAAAGCCTGGCATTGCATCTGAACCAATTGTCTGTTCCATCCTCATACTTTTCAATAATATAGCCAGTGATTGTGCTGCCTCCATTACTTAGAGGTGTCTCCCATGTCAGTTGAATGGAGTCCCTTGTCTGGTCAGTGTAACTGAAGTTCAGTGGGGGACTTGGTCTCTCTGAATGTAAATACAGAAGGTAAAATTACTATAAATACTGATCTCCAATCACAGAAGTTATACTACACCTGTCAGCTTTACTAACCAATGGGATCCATGATCTTCACTGGGTCAGTAGCAAAGCTTGGCTTTCCAATTCCAGCTTTGTTTTCAGCTCTTACTCGGAAGATATATTCCTTATTCTCCACAACATCATTGATGACAGCTGTGCAGTCTTCTGGCTTGGTCACCAAAGCTGCTTCCCATCTAACAGATGTTCTATCACGTAGTTCAATAATGTATGCTGTAATTTCTGATCCTCCATCATACAGAGGAGGCTCCCAGGAGAGAGTGGCACCAAACTTATTCACGTTTCCAACCATAACATTCTGTGGTGCCTCAGGAACATCTGAATTACAAAAATACAAACCAAAAAATGGAAATATTATCTTTATTTCAGATTTTTAGTTTTGTATTCATGCACTACTTAGACTCAGTAATGCAATATGAAAAAAAAAAATATATATATTATATATATATATTTATATGTGTGTGTAAAAAAATAATCCATATATACAACATGTGTATATATATGTATGTATGTATGTACCGTATATACTGTATATATATATATACACACACACATACACAAATATACACAATGCTTACCAAACTTGTTCTTAGCTTGAACAGGGTCCTCCGTCTCTACATTTGGTCCACTTCCTACTCTGTTACGTGCACAGACACGGAAAAGGTACATGGAGTCCTTGTGCAATCCTGTCACGCAGAACTCTGGCCCCTCTGCACTGTCAGTTGCCATTGTCCAGGTCTTGCGTTTAATATCACGTCTCTCTACTACGTAGGCAATGATCTTGCTTCCACCATCACTTTCTGGTTCATCCCAGACAAGGCTAACCTCACCATCAGCGGTGTCCACAACACTAAGATTTTTTACAGGTCCAGGGACATCTAGAAACAAGTAATTCAGTTACATTTCTGTTCCCAAAAGCTTCATCACATTTTTGAGAATATTTTTATATTATAAACTGTATTTTGCAAGTAATATCATTACATATTCACTAGCAAATTGGTCATATACTTTTTGGATAGGATGGGGACAAAACTGTTAAATCTTACCAATAACCTCCAAATTAATGAAAGCCTCTGCCTTTCCATGTTTGTTCTGAATAACAATCTTGTATCTGCCTTGGTCAGACTTTTTGGGGTCCTTCAGCCTGTATTCTGTTCTGTCAGTAGAAGTGTCAATGTTTTTGCTGGGAAGACTGACATCTTCGTAAAACCACTCAGCTTCAATGTCAGGATAGGCATCATAGGGAGTTGACATAGTGAAGGGCTTTCCAGCATCAGTCACAAGGCTTTGATCTGTAGTCTTGAATTTTGGAACAGCTATACAAGACACAAATGAACCAATCAACTAAAAAACATTTAAACAGTTGAAAGAGAGCAGCATGGTAATTTCAGCATACCTGCTAGTTCCAGCTTGGCTTTGGCATCCTTATCCTTTGCAATGATTCTATATTCACCCTGATCACGAGGTCTGGTCTCACAGACTTGAAGTCTGTGAACCTTGCCTTCACTCATCATCTGATACTTGTCACCCTGAACAACTGTCATGTTGTTTCTTAACCATTTCACTTCAACTCTGTCCTTGTTGAGCTCAGCCTCAAATATAACATCCGAACCAGGGGGCTCAAAGCTATCCATCGGTGGTCTAATTATTTCAACAGGAATTTCTGCAAAAAACATCAAAGAAAGCATAAATTACATAGAAACTGTAAAATTTCACAAATAATGTGAATCATAAAAAGCGAAAGGCTTACCTTCAACAAAAAGCCTAGCTCTTGAACGTCTATCATCAACACCACAGGCATATTCACACTCGTCATCCAGTCTACACTCTCTGACAAGCAGTCTGCAGGTCTTGCCTTCTTTCTCAAAGCGGTATCTTGAAAAATAAATTATTTATATAATAAATATTTATTTACTAAGCATTTATTGACCATATGCATAAAATATAACCTCTTGCCACAGAAAACACTAGCAGTACTATTTTACCTGGATAGAACATTTCAAATGGCTTACCTGGGTCCCTCTCTGATCTCACGGCCATTCCTGTACCATTTGACTTCGGCTTTCTCCTTGGAAAGCTCACAGGAGAATTCAGCATCCTCAAACTCAGTGATAGTCTGGTCCATGAGCTGTGTTAGAAAGTCAGTTGGTGCCTCGCTAATAATCAGCTCAGCTGTGGACTTGTCAGAACCAGCAATAACGGAGTATTCAGCTTCATCAGCCAAGCTACACTCCTTAATAATTAAAGAGTGTTTCTGTTTATCCACTTTGTACGAGATGCGTTTGTTGAAGGTGATTCCTTGACCTGCCTTCATCCATTGTACTGTTACATTTGATTTATTCACTTTGCAAGAGAAGGTAACTGTCCTCTTTTCTTGAGTCTCACAGTCCTCAAGGGGCTCAATGATCCTTAGATCCTCCTCTGCAATTTAGAGTAACAGATTAATTAATTACAAAGTCTCAAACAAAATGATGATGACAATGATAATAATAATATTAATAATAATAATAAGAAGAAGAAGAATAACCTTGTACAGTGAGTTGGGCAGAGCTCTGAGCATGTTCACCACGCTGATTTGTTAATGTTATTGTATAGTTAGCTTCATCGGATTTCTGAGCATCTCTGATTCTCAGAGAAAACACATTGTCCTTCTGAGACATGGCAAATTTTCCACTCTCGAAAATTGTTTCACTGTTTTTCAGCCACTTTGCTTTCGCAGTCTCTGTATTGGCCTCACAGTTGAAAACTATTTCTTGACCTTCCTTTGTTTCAGTATCTTTGATAGGTATTATAATCCTAAGTTTTTCTGCAAAAATAAAAACAAGAAAACTGATCATGCACTGTACAGGACAAGTATTGCTTAAGATTTCTAAGATTACACAACTCCACTGTGACCCTGACCAGGATAAGCTCTTAGAAGATGTACTGTATGGAAAGATTACACAACTCTTCATATTTATTAATGTAATATTAATGAAGGAATTACAAAGAAAATACAAAGCAACTACACTTAATAAAGCACTTACCGGTGACAAACAGTTCTGCAGTAGCCCTTGTAGTGTCAATAAGGGCAACGTATGGTCCCTCATCCTGTAGCAGGCAGTCCTTAATGATAAGTGCCCTTCTCTTCCCATCACAAACAATGTCATATTTTTCTCCAGCTTCAAGCTCCTTGTCACCCTTGAGCCATTTAACCTCGTATGTGTCTTTGGAAACTGAACAGACAAACTCCGCCTTTTCACCTTCAACCACTTCTTGGCTCTTAGGTCTGGAAATAAACTCTGCAGCCAGTTCTGTAAAACAGATCTCATTCTTATGTTCTTATAATATCAATTCTTAAATAATCGAAATATACTCTAAAAATACAGAAAAAAATGAAATGCAATGGGCTATAGAATGCAATGAGCTTTAGAAAAAGTCCCACCCTCCAGAAGTGGCCATCTACCTGCCACAGCCAGATGTTACGTGGGTGAATCTATTTCATGTGAATACAGGCAATCATTGTAGAATTTCATCCTTTACCGTGAAGATCTTACCATTAATCCTCAGTGTTGCTGAGGTTCGTGAGCCAGGTAGGCGGCAGTTATACTCTCCAGTGTCGTCCATGCAGAGGTCTCGAATAATAAGTATCCTCTTTCTGCCATCTACGATCTGTTCATATCTGCCTCCCTCAGGTAGCTCCTGTTCACCTTTGTACCATGTGACGTCTGCGCTGGGCTTTGAAACCTCGCAGATCATCTTAATGCTGTCAGTTTCAGTGCCCTCTATATTAGACAGATTCTTTGTAAACACAGCTTCTTCCTCTGGAAAAGAAAGTATCATATGAACAATTTCTCTAGAAAATTATTAGATTCAGGGTGAAATTATACAGGTATTCCTTCCCATGTTCTAGATTTTAAGGAGGAAAGAAATTTAGGACCTGCTTAAAAAGGTTTCTTTTAAAATCACTGCACAATCTGCAGTTATGAACAGAAGCTGTAAATGTTACCAACTATCAACTAGGACAGTCTGTCAGCACAACTGCGCAGTCAGTTAACACCTATGTATATGTTATTCATCTTTGCCATTATCCATGTGCAATTCTCCTATATAAATATAAATATACAAGTTACATATATACAGTGGATATTGCACAGTGTAAGAACAGTCATATATAGAGGACCATATCATATATGCAATATGTGTAATGGTATACAAATTTTTCAGAATTTTTATTATTACTAATTTGTTCTAGTACCTTTTGGTTTGTTTTTTTCTCTTGGCTATTGTTACAAGTAAATTTCCCTGTTGTGGGATCAATAAGTCTTATCTTATCCTTGAAACTGAAAACCTAAAGCTATAATCACACTAAAGCGAAAAATATCCAATGTCTTTGCAGAGTCAAGTGAAAATGGGCATGACTTGAAAATATGGTATGCCGTGGTATTTTCATCAGATTTGCTCAGGTTGGGGAGCATTCACTGGTACAGAGCGTTGCTGCACCCACCACATAACAAAACACCCCAGGATATAGGTTGCTAACCCCCCAGGCCGACATGTGGTGCAGTCCCACCCTCTGGAAATGGCCATCTATCTGTCACAGCCAGGTGTTATGTGGGTATCCCCTTGAAATGGTCCAGCTGCTTGGGTCCTCAGTGATGAGGATCCTGTGAGCTTGATCACCCTCAGGGAATTGCACCACATGCCTGTAGTGCTCCCTCACAATGCAGGTAATGTGCCTCATTCGGGACTCCCTGAGCAACAGCCAATCCTGCAATACCCAAGGATTCTCCAAAGAGACACATTACCAGTGGAGACCAGCCTTCATTTCAGGTCACCGGACAGCATCCATGTGTTACAGCCATACAACAAAACAGGAAGCACCAGCACTCTAAAGACTTGGACCTTCGTCCACTTGCAAAGATTTTGGGAGTGTCACACACCCCTTTCCAGTGACCTCATGACCGCCCATGCTGTCTCAGTCCATCTTCTGACTTCATAGGAATGTCGCTGTCGAGGTAAGCGAACCTCTCAATGCGGCTGACATTCTCCCCACAGACACAATGCTGATAGTTGTGCTCAAGAAATCATTAAAGGCTTGAATCATGGTTTTTATCCAGGACACTAACAGGCCCACACACTTAGACTCCTCACTCAGTCTCTCCAGAGCCCTGATCAGAGCCTCTATTGATTCCGTGAAGATCACAGCATCATCGACAAAGTCAAGATCAGTGAATCTTTCTTCACCAACAGATGTCCCACAGGCGCTGGTCCCCATGTCTCTGCTCAACACCCAATCCAAGCAAGCATTGAACAGAGTAAGAGCAAGAACACACCCCTGAAGAACCCCAGAATCACCTCAGAAGATCGCAAAGGTTCTGCTTCCACTCTGCACAGCACTCACAGTACCAATGTACTGGCTGGTCCTGATGTCCAGCAACTTTGGGGGGACGCCGACAGTCTCAGGATGTCCCACAGGGCAGCTCGATCAACTGAGTCAAACAACTGCAAAGAAACTCTGCAGATATTCGAATTTGCACTCGAAGAGAACCCTCAGTGCCAGGATGTGGTCAATGGTAGACTTCTTAGGTGTGAAACCAGCTCTCGGGTTTCTGGTAGGAGAGCAAGTGATTACAGATCCTCTTGAGGATGACCTGGGCAAGGACTTTACCCAGCATTTATCCCACTTACTGTATCCCCCTGTAGTTGCCGTAATCCAGGTGCCTTTCTAAATAGAGAGAACAAGTCCCATTTTTCAGACAGTAGGGATGATGCCTGTCTCCTAAATAGAAGCAAAGATTGCTTGCAATTCCAGGAAGACAGCCTTACTACCAGCCTGGGGAAGATCACCCTGAATACCACAGATTTCTGCAGCCATCCCTACCCCCTGCTGGTTCATCACCCATGCAATCTCAGTGAGACTGGGGAACTCACAACTAATCAGAGAATTAGGCTCAAAGATTGTGGACCCAGAGATGTCCAACATCATAACCAGAGGATCAGTTTTAAACAGCTGCTCAAAGTAGCCAGCCAAGCAGGATAGTTTGAATGGGGGGCGGGGGCTCAATAATGTTCCTATCTAGAAAAGGGGGGCAGAGAAATTTTGGGAACCACTGCTCTAATAAACACCTCCTTATCTACCCTCAGAGGCCGCCCTTCTCAGTTTCCGGTACAGACCGGAGTTGCCGTCAAGCAATGCACTGTAACTCCTCTCGATAATATCCAGGGTGCCCGTCACATTGGAGCTGGCAGTTGCACCGAAGTCTGTAAATTCCCCACACAAACTGCATGCAGACTCATTAGAAACAGCCTGACCTCGGATTCTAGCCTGGTCCAGCCTCATTCCCCTAGTAGGTGGTAACCTACTGAAACTAAGTTGAATCTTCAGAGTAGCAACAACTAGTCTGTGGTGTGAATTCACAAACTGGGCACTTCTGTAGACCCTGCAGTTCTGTAGGAGCCTCCAGCGTCTGCCCCTGAGGATGTGATCAATGTCCTTCGCCGCGCCACCAGTATTGTAGTACCAAGCCAACGATGTGCCTCAGAGTGCTGGAACCAGGATCCACTGACCCACAGCCCCTGACCTTTCACAAAGTCCAGGGACATGGAACCGCGTTTACCCTGATCACCAGACCCGTGCGGACTGACACAATCCTCACAGCCATTCAGTGCCAGTGGTTGCACTGAAATTACCCAGTGTCCTATCATGTTCGCCCACCAACCATTGAGTGAAGTTGCAAATAAAATGTCTTCCTCATCAAGACATCACTCACTGCGGTCAGAGCACACACTGAGACAACAAAAAAAACACTCAGAGAGTTCCTTAGCCCGAGTCTTAAAATATGCTCATTGAAAGGAATGACATCGGACACCATTGGGAGTAGCCGATCCGCCACAGCAGTAGCTGCTCCCTGAGTATGGCAGCCATCAGAGCGACCAGACCAATAATATGTGTACCCATCTACAGAGATCTGGCCACTCACATCTGCATACCTCCGACAGTGCTGCCACTGAAATGCAGAGTTTATGAAGCCTCTCAGACAGCATAGGAAGATATTCATCCTGTGAAGTTTATTGTGGGACCCGTAGGAATAACCAGGGATTGACATATTTGGTATGCAAGTATATACAAATGCAAGGCAAGGGAAGTTTATTTATATAAGACAGAGGTTTGAAAATGTGCTATATTTTACTTAAATTAAAATGAAATGCTTTACATAAATCAAAATAAAAAGTAAGCATTAAATGGAAAATTAAAAAAAAAACTAAAAAACATAAAGGATTAAATGAACTTCTAATTTCCTGTCATAAAAGTGCAAATGTATACTTATTTTATGCACATTTGCACTGCGATGACAAGAAAATTTATTAATAATAAATAACTTGTAGAGAAGAACTAGCACACCAGTTATGTCAATCCCTATTTCTAACACAGCAACCTAGCATGATTCTAACACATCTTGTCATATGGTATTTTCAAAAACAATGTTATATGGGTATCTTAGCAGGGAAGTCCCCACGATAAAATCTGCTGAATGAAAATATAGTGGTACAGTAACTACCGCAGTATACTCTATCCTGTCATGCCCATTTCACTCTGGGAAGACACTGGATATTTGTCACTCTAATGTGATCATACCTTTGCACTGAAAAATTCACATTTATTATAAATAACCTGATATCAGGTGCTGAGCTGTGACACTTTTTCAGTTGGTAGGATTTTATGTATCTTCATTTATAACATGAATAAAACATTGGAAGTACAGGTGTATAATTAATTTAAACTCACCAATGACAGTAAGCATTCCAGAAGTTTTAGAGGTCTTAGCATCACATTCATACTCAGCCTCATCATCAAAGACTGCTTTGTTGACAATAAGAATGTGCTGGACACCCTTGGCAATGATCTCATACTTCTTGCCTTTTCTTATTTCACTGCCATCTTTAAACCATCGCACCTGTTTGGGAAAAAATTAAAGAAAACATCACATTTGAAAAAAGCACAATGTTGTGGTGACACACTAAATTCACACAGAATGAAGAAAAACCCCACATCAGATAGAATATTTGCAATGTTTTGCATGCTACTTTATAGTATTTAGCATACCTTTGCATTTTCCCGAGAAACTTCACATTCAAACCTGGCTGCTTCCTTCTCTTTCACCTCAACATCATGGAGTGGCTTAGTGAACTCAACATGTGGAGCTGCCACGACAGATATATTTTGTTAATATCATTTGCAATAAATCAGCATTAGTTCTTTTATCTGTATTTAGGTGACTATAATACTCACGCTCAACATTAAGGAAGGCAGATGTTTTGAAATCTTTTGCATCACAGGTGTAAGTCTTGGAATCATCAAGTGTGCAGCCCTGAATGATGAGCTTTCTCTTTCGCCCATCAGTTACAATGTCATACTTCTTAGTTTTGTGGATTTCTTGTCCTTCTCTGAACCATCTGACCTCTGCTTTTTCCCTGGAGACTTCACACTCCAAAATGGCAGTGGCCTCTTCCTCTACAGTTTGGTCTTCCAGAGGTTTAGTAAACTCAACGGGTGGTTCTGTAACAGAAAAATAAGTTGCTTTTCTATGCTGAACTGTTTTGAAGTCAGAGGAATCAGGAGTGAGTTATTTTAAAGATATATGTGTCTGGTATTTAATAGAGTATATAACAATATATAAAATGTTGTTTATGGATTATAAGCAGCTAGTGGTGATGACACAATTAAGTTCAACAACATGATTGCCCTGTGCAATTTCCAAAGAATAGTGTTAATTACTGTTCATTTTGTACTTTTAACCATTGAAATAACTTGATTAAAACTTGTCAGGATTTCATATAAGAAAATGATTCATTAGAAGAAAAATATCAAGATATGACCAGAAGACAAGGCCCATACCATTTACAGTAAGTTTAGCCTGGATGACAAAGTCCTTCGCTGTCAATTTCACATCTCCAGCCTCTGTCAGCTTTACATCTCTGAGAGTCATTGTGTGAACTCTTCCTTCAGCTCGTGTGACAACCTAGGTAAACCAAAACAACAATACAAGATATCTGCAACAGTCACACACACACACTGACTGACCTGCACCAGTCACTATGTGTAGCATTGGTCTGCAAATTACCTCATCCTACTCATAGTCTACCTCATAATGACTCTTGTCTGTTCAAGGCTGCTCTTTATCACTTATCATACTTATAAGCTCTATTTGCACTGTATGTCTGGTTTGCACTCTCTGCCATGTGCCTTTACTTGTATATTGTACTTATTCATATTTTTCTTATTTGTATTTTTAAAAAATTCTATTTTTTTTTTTTGTATTTAATGCTTTCTGTTATCTACCAAGGGTTTGAGAGTAACGTAATTTCAATTCTCTGTGTGTTCTGTACATGTGGCAGAATTGACAATAAAGCTGACTTTGACTTTGACTTACATTAGGAGACATAAACAATGTAGTAGTACATGCTTACTTAATGCATTAATTAACTAGCAATTAACTATTCCTTATATACTGACCCCATGCTTCTTCATCATTAATGAATCATGACGGTTCATGTATTCCATTCAGGAACTATACTAGTTAAGTTAACCAATTAGTTAATAATTAACTAATATAGTTCCCGCATAGAATACATGAACCGTCATAATTAACTAAAACCTAGTTAATGATTAATTAATGCATTAAGTAAGTGTGTACTGCTATATTGTCACCTCAAGTAATGTTACCGAAATATCTAAGGGCGCTTTTCCACCGCATCAGATACCGTACTTTCGGTACTTCCATAAAGTACCAAAAGTATGATACTCCTTTTGTGTCGGTTTTCCACTGGCATAAAAACTGGTACCGGCGCCAAATGACATCATCAGTGACCATCCCTGACTGACATCATCACAAAGTGTGGCGCAGTATTTCTTTCACTGAATTCAAACATGTTATTATGATCCTTCACTTTCCTGTAGTCCTGCTTAAGTTGTTTGATTTTGAAGCGGCATTGTTTGGTGTTTCGCGTGTGCCCCATTTCTACAAAGAAGCTTGCTATTACAGCAAATACTTTTTTTTTCCGAGTCGTGCCATCCAAATCCCGCTGGATCTGTTCCTCTGGCCATATGGTGATTAAAGCCTGTGTTTCCTCGTTTGTCCATTCTTCCATTTTACTTTTTTAATATTTTTGTTTCTACTGTTTTTTATTTAATTTCTCGCTGTTTGCTGTGTTTCAAAAGATGGCGGTTGTATTTTGTGTTTCAGCACCAGGCTATTTGCATAACCATTTGATAGCAAATACGTTTGCAAGTCCCACGCTAAAGTACCGAAGCACCAAAGAAGTACCCCAGCTGGTTTGGCATTTTCGGTACTGGAAGTTTCGGTACTGGTACTTGACCGGAAGTCAATGGAAAAGCGAAAGTACCGAAAGTACCATACTTTGTGCGGAGGAAACGCGCCCTAAACTCATACCCCATCCTTTTGCATCATCCATTTTGCTATTAGTATAATTGCATAATGACTTTATGCTGTATAGACAATTATGTTGTTTTCGTAATCTGAAAGACAACAGGTACTATTTTACGTTTCTAAATTATTGCCAGTTTGCTAAAATTCAAACCAATCTCTCTATAGTGATCATTGCCATCTTCATACTGGTAACACTTCACTTGACAGGGCACAAATACTTAGTAATAACTCAGTTACTACTGAAGTACAAATCATGAGCAAATATTGTTGCTACCTGAGATACAAGATTCATTAATGATGAACAAACATGAGATCAGTATGTCATTTGTGTTATACATTACTTGTTCCTTCAGTACTTCCTTCGGCAGTTCACAAAGGTTTATAGAATTAACAGATATAGTAACAAATATAACTTTGGAATGAAAGATACATCATGATTCATTAATGATGAACAAATACGAGATCATAATTAACATGTTATTCATGACTTGTTCCTTTCGTAGTTCCTTCAGTATTTCACAATGGTTTACAGAATTAATTGATGCAGTTACACATATAGTAACTGCTTGAAATAAAACATGCACTATGATTCATTAATTATGAATTAACACGAGATCAGTAAGTAACAGACTTAGTTTGTGGTTAATTAATACATAAGTAAGAGCATAATACTATATTATTTGTGCCCTGTCAGGCAAGCTGTTACCTTTATACCTAGATGAAAATATCAAAAAGATATTAACAGGTTATTACATAAAGATGAAAAAGCAACTTGAACCAAACAAAATCTGAGAACATATACACATATAATACATAATAGCAAAATATTACTTATTATTTTTCATTGTGTTCTCTTTAATTTTAAATGAATATGATAAAGATATCCATAAATCCATTGTGTTATGGATTAGGTTATATTTCAATTAATGCAATACAGCTGATTGATCAAATTATGATCCAATTTTTCAACATACGAATAATAACTTACTCTTTCACTTAGCTCCAATTTTGTGTTGCCAAGGAACCATTCAACTTCAATTCCTTCATAGGACAGTTCACAGTCAAAAGTAGCAGTCTCCCCAGCAGTAACTGTAACATCCTTGAGTGGTCGTAGCAGGCTAATCATCCGAGCTTCACAATAAGAAGAGGCTACTGTTAGTTCCCGAATTCCCAAAATGAAGTGCACACTTTCACTGCACTTTCTCTCTAAAACTCAACCATCTCTAATTGGTTTTAAGGGGCTCAGTGGTTATCACTGTTGCCTTACATGTTTGGGTCTGTGAGTTCAAGTTCCGTCTCTGCTATGTGTGAGTGGAGTGGTTTATAAAGAAGGTTACATTAATATGCAAATAATCCTCAAAAAGGTAATTTTAATATTATGTTTTCTTGTTTAATCGGGTAGCTAAATTTAGTCTACATTTATGTAGTCTGTTACACATTTTCATTGTTGCTTGGTAATACTTCGCTTCATACACATTTGCAACCAAGTAAATTGCATCAAAAATTAATTTGAATTTATATTATGTTAATGTAATGAAACTACAGACCCTTACCAACACATATTTTATGATCAGAAAGCAGTTTCACATAAAATTTATTACAATGTTTACGGTAATTATCTGCAAAATGAATCATTCTTACCCTTAACTCTGAGCTGAGCACTGGATTTAGCATTAGCAGCTTGGAAGTCCACACCACCAGCCTGGTTCTTGAGCACATTGTACAGTATAAGGACATGTTTAGTACCTTCTTCCTTAATCTCACAGTCCTTAGAGAGGGATCCAGAAAAAGACCATAGTTAGAATCAAAATGGAGGACTCTTTAAAGAGCGGAATGAATCACTGACATCATCTATAACTTCTCATGTCCTATGTATAGATATTTTACGTGTATATATTAATTCAAAGGAAAGGAAACTCTGAGTGACAACATCTAGCTCCTTACGGGAGATTGATGAAGGGCCTCTCCCTTAAGTTTCCAATGACCATGAACATCCTCCTCAGAAATTTCTGTTTCAAAGCGTGCAGATTCAGTTTCTGTAACCTCCACGCTGTACAAGGGACGGACGATCTTAATGTCACGCTCTATGGAACAGTAAAAACATTAATTGAAGTTATTGTGTTTTAACAATGCATATTGTTTATTTTCTATTGTAAAACATGTGAAAAGAACACTACAAACCTTCAATATTTAGTTTAGCAGAAGTCTTGTCAGAACCACAGTCACAAGCATATTCGCCTATGTTGCCCTTCTCTGCCTTCCTCACAATGAGTACACGCTTCTTGCCATCAGATTTGATTAGCACATTTTTGGATGGAGTGACTTCCTTGCCATCCTTGAACCATTTCACTGTAGCAGCCGGCTTGCTCACTTCACACATTAGCACCACTTCATCCTTCTCCACTGCAGTATAGTCCTGCAGTTTGGTGATGAAGTACGGCTCTCCCTCTGTGAAGAAGGAAGAAAGATTTTATACAGCAATTTTTAATACTAATCATTAGCTAAGAGAGAATAGAAGATAAAAAACCCGTGTACAGGTTCCTACACTTCACACAGGTCTCCAAACAACTGCTGTATAAGCAGCCACTATGCAAATATAAACAGTATATTTAGAACAACTCTTTACACATTATACACTTACCAAGGACAGTAAGCATAGCCTCTGAACATTTTGCGAGTGCTTCTGCTTTAATTAGGGAAGTGTCATCAATGCAAACTTCCTTAAAGGCCAGGGTATGAATTTTTCCAAGTTCTGACATATGGACCACTTTACTAGGGTGCAGGCGCACATCATTCTTGTACCAAATGACTGGCACCTTCTCATGAGACAGCTCGACACTGAACTCTGCAGTCTCACGTTCTTTCACTGTGACATCCTTAATGGGCTTGACAAACTCAAGTCGAATTCCTAAGAATTGAAGTTAAACAAGATGTCTGAGTACTTATGTGCCCAAAATATATGTTAAAATAATAAAATAAAAAAATAAATGGAGAACACTCGTAGTATTCTATATTAATTCCCATTCATGCTTGACTATAATATAATGCACTGATTTGATAGCTTTCCAAAGAAAGAGACTTTTCATACCCTGAATGATTAATTTTCCAGTGGTTCTCTTATCTTCCGCTTCAAACATGTATTTGGCTTCATCCTCATAGGCTGCAGATTTTACCAAAAGAATGTGCCTCTTTTCCTCTTGGAGAATTTCAAACTTTTCATCAGTTTTCACCTCCTGAGATCCTTTTAGCCAACGGAAGCTTTTAGCATCCCTGGACACTTCACACTCAAACCGTGCTTCGTCCTTCTCTAACACTTGAACATCACTCAAAGGAGTGATGAAGGTAAGTGGAAGTTCTGTAATGTATACAAAAAGGTTAAATTAAAATCAAACCTATATATTACAGTTTATTTAATATTTAAATTATACTAATATACCAATTAAATACCCATAGAGAAGTACCTTTTACTTTCAGATTAGCTGCACACTTGGCATTAGCGGCCTGGAATGACACTTCGCCTGACTGGGGGATTTTGCAGTTGTACAATGTCAAGATGTGTTTGGCACCATCTTCAATAACTTCAACATCCTGTAAGTCATACCAAGGAAAATACAGTGAAATATTTGAAGAAAAAAATAATACATTCAATCACATAAATTCCTTCACTTTCTGTGAATCTACACATGGCATTTTTTTTAATTTGATAGCAGGCTACTGAAAGTATTATACATACAGGAGACTGGGTCAGGGTTTCTCCCTTCAATTTCCACTGGCTATGAATATCACCCTCAGAGATTTCCACTTCAAAACGAGCTGTCTCTCCTTCAAAGAGCTCCACACCATACAAAGGACGAAGGACTTTAATGTCACGAGCTGTAAGTGAAAAATTAAGGCATCATGATGAAATTAACATGGCTGTTAATTTTAGGTACAAATTTAAATAGCTCTTTAATACTTACCTTCTATGTTAATTTCTGACATTGTTTTATCTGTTCCACAGTCACATGCATAATTTCCTTTATCCTTATTTTCTACTCTTTTGATTGATAGGATTCTCCGTTTGCCATCAGCTTTAATAGAAACCATCTTAGAGGCTTTCACTTCAGTCTCATTATGGTACCATTTTACAGGCACATCTTTACTCAGTTCACAGTCTAATGTGACATCATCCTTTTCAACTGCAGTGTAATCTTGCAATTTAACTGTGAAGTATGGATCGGCCTCTGCAATGGAAAAGTTTACCAAATGGAATAGGAAAAAAAAATCAATGGCCATATTTTGAAAATACAAAGAATACCTTTACAATATGTTGTTTTCTGTGTATTGCAGAGGGAATGGTGAATAAACTGACATTTATTTTCAAATACATACTGTATTTATAATAATGGAGTCTAACAATAAGTTAATATTCAAAGACAAAAGACAGAAACATATCAACACAAAAATTACCTATAACCAAAAGATTAGCCGTTGTGGATACTCCTTTAGCCTCTGCTTTGATTTGGCAGGTGTCATCTAGAGTGACCTCTTTGATTTCTAATATGTGCTTCTTTCCATCAACATGAGTAAGCACAGTTCTGCTCATATGCAGTTTGATTTCATTTTTGTACCATGTCACTGGTACATCCTCATGACTGATCTCAAGCTCAAACCGAGCTGTTTTGCCTTCCTTTACTGTTTGGTCCTTCAGAGGTGTAATAACCCTCAGCCTTATACCTGTAAAATATTTTTTCATAGGTACGAGTTGTAATGTTATCGGAATATTATGAATAAATATAAATATCAATATCAGAATATTAGCCCCCTCACCCAAATCAGTAATATTTGTTTGTTTGTTCGTATGTTTATTTACTTTATTTATTTTTGCCTAGAATGTCATAATACACAATTGTAGAATCCCTTTAAGTGGAAACAAATTTGTTTATAGACAAATTCCATCAGAAACAGCCACTGGAAAATTTCAAATACAACTGCAACTGTTGAGCTATGCCAATGTGTCAGCAACAAAGTACTTATGTTAAACAATGAACTATAGTTTTACAAACGAGAATATCAACCTACCTTCTACTGTTAGCTTAGCTGTTGATCTTCTGCTCTGGATTTCAATAGTATATTCACCCTCATCATCAAATTCACATTCATTGATGACAAGTATGTGCTTTTTCCCATCATCAATGATATCATATTTTTTTCCAGGAGTGATAATATCAGTTCCCCTCATCCATATGACCTTCGGAATGTCCCTTGTGATACTACACTCAAACTGGGCCTGTTTCTTTTCTGGTACAGAAACATCCTTCAGTGGAACAGTAAAGTCCAATTCGATTTCTGAAAGACACAGATTATGGTTATTCACCATCCACATTCATCTCTTTCGATATCTAAAATATTATGCTTACCTTTTACTGTTAGCATTGCAGCAGTGGTGGCATTTAAAGCTTGGTAAGACACTTCACCAGACTGGTCAACTTGGAGATTTTTCAAAGAAAGAGAACGCTTCTTGCCTTCCACTTTAATATCACAATTCTAACAAAAAGATGAAATGTAAAATATACAAAGTTTTAATAATAAAAATCATTAACCAGTGAAGTAAAACAAAAATAAAAATTATTTTTCTGAAATATTCTAAATATTCCTATTCTGAAATATTTAGAATAGGTAGATGACTGACTGGTTTACTTTTAAAACTAAAAAAATATTAAAAGCAATACTGTGAGAAGTACTATTTATGTTAAGTTCTCATATTTAATAATGTTAAAATATAAACATATGTACATGTACATATACACAGACAGTCTCTCTGGGGAAAGAGTAAGAACTTGCAAAATTCGTACAGGAGATCTTGTCAAAACTTGGCCCCTGAGTTTCCATTCTCCAGTTACATCTTCCTCAGAAATTTCTGTTTCAAAGCTAGCACTTTCTTTTTCATACACTTCCACACTGGAGATAGGCTTCAATATTTCAGCTTCTCTCTCTGCATAACAAAAGGGCATAATTAGAAAAATAACATAACATTTCACTAGAATCAAGAAATCCATTTAAAAAATTACAAATTATACAGTACCTCCTAGAGTTAGCTTAGCTGCATATCTCTGCCCTTCAACCTCCACAGCATATTCCCCAACATCATCAGGAGCTGCATTCTTAATGACCAGAAGGAGGTTTTTTCCATCCTTTGTAACTTCAGTCTTATCATTGGGCTCCCTGGGTATCTCATCGTCTCCTTTGAACCACTTCCAGTTTGGAGTATCCTTAAATAGCTCACCTTTGAAGGTGGCAGTGGTCTTGGGTTTTACATGTTGATCCCTCAGTGGTTTTACCAGCCAATCTCTTACAATTTCTATGATGCAAACAAGCAATTGATTAAGGAAGGACTATGTAAACAATAACTTTTGCATACACATTACATATAAAGTGGATTATAGGTACATACCAATTACTTTCACATCTGCTTCAGTCTTGATGTTTTCACATTCACATGTGTAAATACCAGCATCATCATCTGTTGCATTCTGAATGGTTATCGCATGCTGTAGTCCAATGATATTAATTGCCAGCTTTCCAGGGATTTGTTCAAGGGGTATACCATTTTTCTTCCAGACTACATCCCTCTCTTTGCTCAGCTCACAGGTCAAGTACATTGGCTGTCCTTTGAGAACTGACATCTCTTCTAAGTTTTTCGTAAATTTGACTGGGAGTTCTATGGAAAAAGCAAAAATTATATACTGTCAGGACCTATACAAAACCCATTTTCACTTTGCTAAAAAGGTTGTTCCTATCCTCTTAACATTATGCCAGAAACCAGAAAATTGATTAAAAATGTAACTTGTTTCATCTACACAGTATATTTCACATTTGATTTATTTATATTCCTATTTCAGGTAACTGTGATAAATTAAATACCTTCAACAATGAGCTTGGCTGTGGAAGTCTTTTCTTTGTTTCCCAGCTTAGCAACACAAGTATATTCACCAGTGTCTGACAACTGGACATCAATAATGGCAAGCTTACGATCCTTGCCATCTGAGGTGAACTTGTATTTAGGGCTTTCTCTTAAGTTGCTTCCATCCTTCATCCATGAAGTAATAGCAGTGGAGGGAGACACCTGACACTCAAATACAGCGGAGGAGCCAATCGACTCAGCTTCTTGTAGCACAATGTCTTTCAGCTCTTTGACAAACTTCAAAGGGACAGCCTTAAGCTGGAATCCAAATGGTGCATCACCCGGTGGCTTTTCACCTCCGGTTCCAGGTTTTAAACCTTTTCTCTTATCAGCATCTCCAGGAGATGGTGTTTGTCTTGCTATAATAAGGAAATATTATTGTGAATTTCATCTCACCGAGGACTCCCTTTAATTGCTTACATCAGCATTTATTAAGCAATGTGGAGTCAACCTAATAAATATGCAGTTAAAGTGTTACTTATCTGAACTGCAATTTGTCTTTATAAATACACCAATGTGGTAAGATGGAATCAAAAACACTGAAGCCACCTCACCCCCACAGTCTATGTGCCTTACCTTTTAAGCCTCTACCTTTTCCTGGTTCTTCTTTCGGTTTCCCATCTGTATTAGGTTAGAATGAATTTTACCACCATAACAAATAACACATTTCCAAATCCTTGTCAAAAAATGCAGGACACATGAAAATGGTGATGTCCATGGAGAGACAAGTATGCAAAAAATGTGAAAGAAAAAACTGATCATGCAACAATACAATGGCATAATGGGTCATACAACTGATAACATATCACTGCAATGAACTGGTTATAAAACCTTAATTGCTGTTAGATTGTAAGATTGAAATACTAACTCTGTTAAATAAACATAACACAATGACAAGCAACAATGATGAGGACAGACAAACAAAGTTTGAAAACAATAATGAAATGGACAGAAATAAAATTATTTATGGTAAGAAATGATGATTTTTTTTCGAAACGGGTATGAAGGAGTCAGTGATGAGGATCAGCAGTCACCCTCTCACCTCGTCTGTCACCCTTCATTCCCGGAGTCTCAAGCGCACCCTCTTCGGAGGCTTGGGAGGTTACCTCCCAATCTTCTGAAGAACCATAACTCTCACGAGGAGTAAGTTCCCATCCTGAACTTTCCTCCTCATCCTCCAACTGTTTTTCTGGCTCATCATTAGATACTTCCTCTTCCTGTTTGGTAGGAATCTTCCTGAGTTGCACTGATTCTGGAGACACTTCTTTCCTTTGTGGTATCTTTCCTATCCCAGTTTTAAGTCTAGTGTCATCAGTAATCTTTTCTTCTGGTGGTGATGTTTTCTTTGGGATTGCTTTTAGAGTAACTGAATCGATGGAGTCCTTAGGAGACACTTTTTTTGGTAATATTTTAGAGGTATCTCCACTGGACCTCCTTTCTGCAGGAGTCAATTCAACTGTTACTGGCTTTTCAACCTTTGGTGAAGGACTCTTTCTCAGTTGCAGTCCTGGTTTTGACACCTCTACATGTTTCAGTAATATTTCTTTGTCAGTTTCCTCATGTCCCTTGAGTAGGTGTGCAGTCTTCTTCACTGGCACTGTCTTTTCATCATCCTTTGGACTCACCTTATCTGTCTTCAAAGGAACAGCCTTTGAAGGCAGTGGTTTCTCTTTTTGTGCAGGAGGTGTTTCTGTCTTCGTAATCTTCTCAAGTTCTTTATCGTGTGTTGGAATTACTTCAGTTTTCTTTACTTGTGCACTGACTTCTTTTAACAGCTTATCCTTAACCACTTTATCTGCTTTTTTAAATGTTATGGCCTCCTTGTCCTCTGATTCTGAAGGAATTTTTTGTGTAGGTACTTCAGCTGTAGGTGCTTTTGAAAATGGCTTCAGCTCTATTTCTTCCTTTTTCTGTTCCTCTGTTGGAAGTCTTTTCACTTTAATTGATGGTCTACCAACTTCAGCTGGTTTTTCATCTAATGGACTTTTATAAATAGGTTCCAGGGCAACATTTTCTGGTTCTTTTTCATCTGCCAGATTTTTTTCTTTTGTCTTTTTGGGAGTAACAAATGATTCTTTAACCATTTCATCTTTTTGTGGTCTCTTGAGAGCTACAGGTTCCCTTTCTTCGTCGTTTTCCCTCTCTTTATCTAACACTGCTTCTGCCTTTTTAGGAGCAGCAACAGGTTCTTTAACAGCTTCATCCTTTAGTGGTTTCTTGAGGGCTAAAGGTTCCCTCCCCTCTTTATCTCTCCCTTTATCTAACACGGCATCAGCCTTTTTAGGTGCAGTAACAGGTTCTTTAATGGCTTCCTCTTTTTGTGATTTTTTGATGGCTAAGGGTTCCCTTTTCTCCTCTTTTTCCCTCTTTGAGACTAACACTGCTTCAGCTTTTTTAGGAGCAGCAACAGGTTCCTTAACAGCTTCATCTTTTTGTGGTCTCTTAACGGCTGAGGGTTCCCTTTCCTTCTCTTTTTCCCTCTCTTTTACTAAAACAGCTTCACTCTTTTTAGGAGCAGAAACAGATTCCTTAACTGCTTCATCCTTTTGTGGTATCTCGATTTTCTTAGAAGCCAAGGGTTCCTCTTCTTTGTCTTTCTCCTTCTCTATTTCAGGTTTCGCAGGTATTTCAAATGGTTTTAAGGCCACAGTCTCTTTATCTGTATCCTTTGTTGGAAGTCGTGATATTTTCTTCATAGTTAAACTAGGTTCTTTTGGTGTTTCCTCTTCAGCAACTTTGACAGATTTCTTCAAACCTACCTCTCCTTTTTCCTTTTCATCTGTAGGAATTTTAGCCAAATGTACCTTTGATACCATTGTGACATCTATGGTGGTAGCTTCTTTAAGCTCCTCAATCTGTACCTCTTCAATAACCTCCTTTGCTTCTCTACTGGGGATTTTTGCAGCCATTTTGGGAGTTTTGGAAACCTCGAAAGTCTTTGTAAATGTAACTTCCCTTGTAGCTTCTTTCTCTGTCAAAGTTGAGGTCTTAGGAATTTCATCAGCTGGAGCCAGGGGCACTTTTCTAAGTGTCACAACTTCTTGTTCCTCTTCCTTGCCCTTTGAAATCCTGGTTACCTTCTTCAAGGACAGTATTTCAGTTTTTTCCTCCTCTATATAAATTTTACCTTTTGATTTAAGAGATGGCGGTGATTCACTTTGTGCATCTGACATAATAAAAGATTCACATTTAAACATAAATCACATGACATAACTAACAAAACATCACCTCCCATACTCTCTCAGAATGGTTGCAGACTTTTACCACATTCACATCAACATTAAACATACACAAAGGACAACAATACACAATACATTTACTTCGTTTAGCAGACGTTTTTGTCCAAAGCAGTTGTACAGTTGACAGTAAACAAACAAACTTCAGGACAAAACTGAAACACAAATAAATTACCATAATCTTCACTAAATAAGATAATATTACAGTTTTTTCTCGATTGCATTGAGACATTTCTCAAATGGCAACATTTCCAATACAACTAGTGTAATCCCTACTCCATGCCATGTGTGCACAGCAGAACCTTTCAGAGTGATTCAAGAATTTATTGCATATATTGCAGTGACATTGCACTGTGTATTTTTGGTTCCCACGGGTCATGAATTTGTTGCCATTTTGTTGTTGTTGTATTGTCATATTACTGTTTTGGTATTATACAGTGCTGTGTGACTTTGTTTGCTATTGTACAGTGTCTTGAGATCTGAAGAAGCTACATGTGCATGAGAGTGCTTTACATACTGTAATGCATTGTTGAAACTGGTGGCTTTGACAAGAATAATAATCAGCTTGCTAAAAAATAATGATCAATCCGTGACAGTGAGAAAGTGGGAACCAACTTTCATTCAGAATTGTTGAGCTCAAGAGCATACTTACACTGACATACTGACAATATATCTAAGAACTTTCACTTTCATGGTTAAAATGATGCTGATTGTACTTTTCATTGTAGTGACATTAACTAATTCTTTTGTGGAATCATTTGCTTTTGAGACATGAGTTCATTGTTTTGGGTGAGTTAAGGTGTTCTGCAGTGTAACCATAGTGTTGTGCAACATGCATAAATTGTTTTGAGTAATGCTCTTAAAGTCGTGAAAATGTAAAGTATGTTTCATGAAATGTGTTACAACAATAGAGAAAAACTGTAATATGTGTATGGTGTAAGCAATCTAGAGAAAAAGAGCTTTTAACATACCTTGTTGGTATGCTCCAGGTGCTGTAACAGGTCCCTTTTCATCATCTAGTCCGAAAAATAAAAATAGTTTTCTTATACAAAGATAAACATCAAAATAATAAAACAGCAATGAAAATAGGTATGCTGTTTGTGTGACTGAATGGGAAAATAGGTAATGTTGGACTAGATAGATAGATAGATAGATAGACAGACAGACCTACCTCATATGAAGAAGGAAATGGGTTTTAAGAACTCAGATGATCAAAAAGGGCAACAAACCAACACGAATATACATATTTCACAACAAACATATATTATTGAAACACATGTAAAGCTAACGACCACAAAATAAACATATAAAACACACAACAAGCAATAAAGAGGAGCCATTTAAGATAAACTACTATGAAGGTTGTAAGGTTGTACCTTTTTGAGGTGCAATGTCTTTAACTGAAACAGGGGTGAGTTCTGGTATAGTCATCTTCTCTGGTTCTGACACATTCAAGAAGATACATTGACATTTAAGTTGCGTAGGCTATACCTCTAGGTAACTGATTAAGCAACAAAGAACAATGTTATACTGACAGAAAAAGTTCCGTAAGTACTGAGGTTACGGAAGATGGGTGTATAATCTTACGGTGATAAATTTATGAAAAAACTATCCAATATTTAATCCATAATACATAAGAGAAGATAATTTCAGAATTTATGTTTTTATTTTTTACTAAACAGACAAGGAACATTTTTGAAGCAGAAATGGAAACCACACACACACACACACACACACACACATACATAAAGAAAGAGCACCCCAAAGATGTACCTCTAACTGGTGATACTGTGGGAACCACTTCCATTTTTTTAGGAACCGGTTTTGGCTCATCCGACTTTGATGGAACTTAAATAAAGCATAAGCTTTGCTTAGGAACCTTGAGAATAATTCTACTATTTAACATTTAAAATAAAAAGCTTCTTTGAGATATAAATACCTTTTACAGGTGCAACCTTTTCAGTATCTTTCTTTATGATAGCCATTGTTTCTTCAGCTTTTGGCACTGGCTTTAGAACTTCAAAGACAGAATGATTTAAACAAGAGATAATTTGCATAGATGCTGATTTGATAATAAGAGGGAGCAAGAAACATTAAACAAAAATGATGCCTCTGACGAGGCTCAATTGCACAGTTACCACATTTATATTCACAAATATCAGCAAAGAAAGAATGGAAGAATGCTGTTTCAAGTAATTAAAGTACCTGGAACTTCCTTTAATTCTTTCTCGACTTGTCGGATTGTAGGTTTTCGTTTTTCTGGAACCTTTTTCACTTCTTCTTGCACTTCAAGAAGATTGGACATTTACTACATTTCTATTCACAAACATCAACCAAGAAGGAATGGCAGAATGCTGTTTATTTAATTAAAGTACCTGGAATTGCCTTTAATTGTTTCTCAACTTGCTGTGTTGTAGGTTTTGGAATTTCTGGAACCTCTTTCACTTCTTCTGGCACTTCAAGAAGATCACAAATTTACCACATTTATATTGAAAAACATCAACTAAGACAAAATGGATAAATGCTATTTCATGTACTGTACTTATAATACCTGGAACTGCCTTTAAGTGTTTCTCGACTTGTTGGGGTGTAGATTTTGTTTTTTCTGGAACCTTTTTAACTTCTTCTGGCACTTCAAGAAGATATTTATGAATTATTATTATGCACTTTCACTTATTTTAAATATGAAAAGACTAAGATCATATTAAATATACAAAGAAAAAGATCGAACATGGGGACAAGACACAGATGAATGCTTATACAAGACCAAATAAAAGTTGACAACACAAGACACTTCAAACATAAATACAAACAATTAGACAAAATACCTTTGGGTGGAGAAACTTTCTCTGCAAGATGATCAGGGACTGGTTTTGGTACATCAGGCACAGCTTTCTTCTCAGCTGTTGGCACTTAGAATGGAATCAAGATTAAGAATGCATGTTATTTACAGTCTATCGTTTCAAACCAGGGTAAAGATAATAAAGAACGCTGCGAAAAAAGAACATAAAAATCAGTCTGAGGTGACCCAAAAAACATGCAGTAAACTAAAAACACACAAGACCTAGATTTAAAATATCTCTGGTGTAATTTATGTACCTTTTGGAGGACCAACTGACACAGGTGCTATTTCAGGAACAATCTTCTTTTCTGGTTCTGACACTTTTGAGAGGAACAGTTTAAGATATTTAGCAAAGGATCAGAAAAGAACATTTGGGCATGCATAAAGAGAATTGACAAGAAGATACCGAGTAAACACATAAACCAGGTACGGGCAAACACACAGAAACGCAGACACTTTGGTCTGACACATGAAAAAAACAGTACGTTCTGCAGAAATACCTCTTAAAGATGAAGGTTCAATCATTGCACTAAGACTTTTCTGGCCTGGTACCATTGCTTCTTTTTCAGAAATCAATATTTTATCTTGACTAATTTCATCAGTTTTCTTAATTTTTTGTATACGTTGTTTCTGAAAGATCATTTCACTTGGAAGAATGTCTTCTTTATCAGATATTACTTGTTTGGGAGCCATTTCCAAAGCATGGGGGGGCATTACTTTTTCGATAACCTTTTTAGTAGCTTCCTTATGAGCTGGTACTTCCTTCGATTTTGGTTTCTCCCCTTTTTTAATGGCAGCATGTTTAGCTTCTGGAACCATTTCTTCCACCTTGGGAATTTCTGTCTCTTCTGTCTCAGGAATTTCTTTAGAAGAAACTTTTTCATCTGAGATAGCTTCTTCTTGCAAAGAAATATCATATTTTTGCAAAGATGTTTTCTTTTCAGAGATATCCATCTCCATTATACACTCTTCTCTTGAACTAGGTAAAACATCTTTAAGCAATAAGATCTTTTCTTTGTCATGTACATCTGCTAGGACAAAAGTAGTTTCTGTGGGACAAATCTTCTCCATGTGTGACACAATCTTCTTGGGGGCTTCTGCCATATTAAGATTCATGTAATTAAGCAGAACAAAGATCATCATATAGTTGTGATGAGAAAACCAGCAGAAATAGTAAAAATATTATAAATTTCACAAAGACATACAACTGGCACAAACATTCAGTCGTACAGACAGAACAATATTACACAGAACAGACATACAATGGTATAACAAGACAGATCAAAAGATTATTAAGAGTTTTTTTTTTGATTCCCCACTTTCTTTCTGTACCTTTTGGTGGAAAAACTTCTGTAACTGCAACAGGAACAGCACCAGGAATAGTCTTCATTTCTGGTTCATGCCCTTTCAAATATACCATTTGATATTTAGAATTAAAAATCAGCAGAAGATATTTAAAAAAGATGATCAGTGACATATAAATAATTAGCCCGTTAGTTGAAAAGAGAAGCAGGATCATGAGCATTCATTCTTCATTACACATCATAGTACATGTAAACCATAAAACACATGTTGGTTATATGGAAGGTACAAGGTTTAAACTATAAACTGGAAAATAGATAAGCATAAAATGAAATGGCTCGCAGGATGACCTCTTTCAGTTCATCACACTCCTGTCAATATACCTTTCTTAGGTTCAACATCAGTGTTTTGTCTTATTCTTTTATGCTTTGATAATTCCTTTTTAGAAATCATTGCTTTTGTTATTTCACCATAGTTTTGAAGGTCTTTTTCCATTCCGTGTATTATTTCTTCCTTTAACACATTTTTAGTTTCTGATTCAGTCAAATCAATTTCTTGTTTCACACAAGAAATATCATTCTTAGTGGATACATCTTCCTTAGGAATAATTTCAAATTCCTTTTGGGGAGCTTCTTTTGAAACTGTTTTTGCGTTAAGAATGGCTTCTTTTAAGATGTCCACTTCAGCAAAACTTTGTTTTGGCAATGTAAATTCTTTTTCTTGTTTTAGGGGCATAGTGGGCCCAGATTGAACTTTCTCACAAGAAACATACAATTCCGTTTCCTCTAAAGATATATCATCTTTTTGCTGGTACATCATGTCAGGAATGCCATCATTTTTCAATGATATGTCTTAAAAAAAAACAGCAAAAAAATTATTTTCCAAATTGTTTCTGGACTTTCCAAATTTTCACTTAGTGAGAAGTATGAAAGCTGAAAAAGCTAAAAATTGTTTGAGTTTTTATTGTTTTTTTCAGCTCTGATAACATAATTTTAAGGCAATTAATTCTAATGAGCCAAAAGGCTATTTTCCTGTTTTCTTTCTTTTATGGTTCTGAATGTTGTTTATACCAATAACGACTTCTTCGCTATGTAAGTGCAATCTGACAGTCAAAAACCCAAATAATTATATAATTTTACGGAGCTACAGTTGTTCTTAAATTTCACAATCATAACTTGTGGAGCATGTCTAGAGAAAAAAAACAAATACAAAACACACCCAGGTGCATACTGAGCGAGAGCCATCTGACACACAGACACAGAGCAAAGTGGGTTTTTAAAGACTTTTTTTTTTATTCCACATTGCAAGGATATCGCTCCCGTCTTATACCTTTTGGAGGCCCAACTTCTGACACAATAACCATTTCAGGAGTAGCCGTCATTTTTTGTCCAGTTCCTTTCAGAAGATATTTCATTGATTGTGGAAGAAAGTGAAAAAAGAGTATTTAGAATGAAGGATAATAAATGAGGAATAAAAAAGAGAGGATGCATTTTGATGCATGTTCATAAAGGACGTAATATTTATATATATGTCCTGTTAGAGGACAAACAAAATTACATAATGAAGATAATGAAATTAATTATTAAATAATGAATGAGTCTTCCATAATACCTTCCAAAGTTCCATCTCGAGAAAATGAGGTTTTCCTTTTGAAAAACTGGTCAGTGTCTTGAATGGGTTCTTCCTCTTGAAGTGCTGTGCCTCTAAAATCAGGTTCGATCATTTTTTTCTTCGGTGAAATGCCTTTTTTAATGGCACTTTCTTTAGGGGTGTCTCCTTTAATAGATATCTGTTGTTTTTCCACAGAAATTCCTTCTCTGAGTTCCAGTGCTCCTTCATATTGCTTTTTAAATATTGGTTCTTTAATATTTTCTATTCCCTCAAAACTAATGTGGATTTCATTGGCCTCTAGAAAGATGTCTTGTACTTCTTGGGTGTCATCTGTCTCAATATTAAATTCAGCTTCTACTTGAATGCTTTTCTCTTTTTCAGTGACTAGTTCCTCTTCCATAGAATGAGTTCCCAATTCCCTAGGTGAAATTCTATTTATAACGAGGCCCTTTTTCTTTTCTTCATTTGGTAAATCATCTTTTTTAAATGTGATCAATTTAAGCACATCTCCTTTACCAGATACCTCTTGTCTCTCCACTTTAGATTCTTCAACTTTAGATTTTGTTCTGTCTGGTTTTTGTATTTCAGAATCTTTTAGAAGTTTATCTTGTTCTCTTGTACTGTCTTCCATGTTCACACTAATTTTAGTTTCTAACTGAACATTTTTCTTGTTCTTAGCCATGATTTCCTTTTCTTGTGAATGTGTTACAAATTCCTGAGGTGAAAGTCTATCAATAAAAGTTTTTTGCATTTCTTCACTTGAAAAAGCATCTTTTTTAAGTCCAATATCTTTAACAGACTCCTTATCTTTCTTCGCTGTAGCTTCATCAAATTCAAATGTTGGTGTCTCTGACGTCTGTATATTGTGTCCTTGTTTAGAAGAAGGTGGAAGGATTTCTTTCATTTCACATTTGTCTTCTTTCACAATGATATTTTTTTCTATATTAGGTAATATGTATTCTTGAAATGAATCATTGTCAAATTGTATAGATGAAATTTCTTCTTTAAAAACAGATGTAATATTTTTTGGAGTAATTCCTGTTTTAAAAGTACTCTCTTCAACCGTTAGCACCTTAGCTGATTTTTCTTCAGCCTTTTGTTTTTGTCTTTTAACTGTCTGAGAGAAAATATCCATACTAGCAGTCTCATTTTCCAAGAGGGATGTGTCAGATTTGAGTGATGTTGCTTCATCTGTATGTAACTTATTCAAACATATTCCATTACCTTTATTGGTAACGGAATCACATGGCAAAACTGAACTCTTGAAAACCTCTTTTTGTCCATCAGTTTTTTCACTGTCTGCCTCCCATTTTTGATTAGCCACCTTGCCTTTCTTGAAAACTTCTGTCACTTGAAAAAAATTACATATATTTCAGATATAACACATATATTACTGTCAGAGAAATCCCCCCCCCTCCGGATGATGTCCCCAGGTGAGGTCAACAGCCCCCCCCCCCCCCCAAAAAAAAAAAGAATCGGTGTAATGGGAGCGGACAATAAAACTAACATTTTTAGTCTAAAATGACACTATATTAATAAAATAGAAGAGATATAATGAGTGATGCACAACAAGCATTATCATTGCCAAATGGATGGAAACTTTTTTCACTGACACAGAGGATACATCAGGAGAAGATGCCATTTTTGGTTGAGTTCCACTTGGGAATACTTGAGATTTATTTGATGATGGAGAAAGAAAAAGATAAGCAATATTTTCCAACACAAAACATCCACTGGCATTGGAATATGAAGAGATTCTGAGGGCAAGATATGGTGTTGGTCCAAAAAAATAAGCATGATAATATAGCTTAAAAATGCAATGAGATGAGTATTTATAAAGAGAAAACAGCAATTTTAATGAATGAATAATAATGTGGGACGATGGGATGAAGTTTCATGTGAAGCACTTCAAATGGAATGTACGTAATACCTGTCAAAGGAACATCTGATGGCTGAAAAAGCCTTTCTTCAATTTTCACACCCTCTTTCTGTTCAGAAGACATTGTCTTGAAGGGCACTCCTAGAATTATTTCTTTCATTTTCTTTACAACCATTTTATCATCACATGGAATGCTAATTTCTTTCTTGATATACATTACTTCTTCCTTAGAAGGAACTACAATTTTCAAAGACAGACTTTCTTCAGTTTTATAATTCTCCCTTTCCTCTTTTCGCACTGTCAGCAAGGCTTTTACAGCTGTGTGAGAATTTGATGTCTCATTTTCTTGAAGAAATGTGTCAGTTTTTTGTGGGGATACCTTCTTCTGATATATATCAATCTCCTGTCTTGAAACTGGGAACATCTTTATATTGACAAATTCTTCACCATTAGTTAGCTGCCTACTCTGAAGAGAAAGACTTCCTTTGGGGATTTCCTCCTGTTTTTGAATTATAGCACATTTTTGGGGGTCCCGGGGAACTTCCAGCACTTAAAATACAACATAAATTTCAGATTTAACAAAATGAACAATGAAAAACTGGTTGAAAAACGTTTTAGGGGACATCACAGCACATTAAGACGGATGATATGGACAAAGCTACAAAGCTACACACAAATACAAAATGTATACAGCTGAAACAAACAAAGGGTGGACATAAAAAAGGATGCTACAAGGACGAAATTTAAGAATTGTAGCCTATTGTAGACTAACCCAGGAAATCATTTGAAGATTTTTCATTGACACAATGAACTATTTGATACATATATTATAAAAGAGGAAGAAAACTAAATCTGACACCAAAGAATTTCCCAGAAGACTTTTTGATGATAATATATAAGCTAATTTAGGTATTTACAGAGAGCTCTCAAGAACAGCAAAAAAATAATAATAAAAGTCCTTGCTTTTGTTTAGTTCTTTTCTTCTCAGAAGAAAATATTTTCCTCAGAGGTATTTCAGGAGTTTCCATGCTGGGTTCTTCCAATTTACATATGTTTTCTTTATTTATATTAGTTTCAGCTTCAGGTGTGATAAAAATTACTCCTTTCTTAGGAGGTATTTCAAATAACATTAAAGGAATTTTGGCTTCAACGAGAGATTCCACTTGATGTGATGGAATTTCATTTTTAAATGTTATTTCCTTAATGGCTTCAACTTGTTTGCTAACTGGAGTTCCTAAGATTTTAGATGCTGTCGTTTGAATTTCAGGGAATCCACTCCGCTCTGTTTCAGGTGTCAGCCACCTATTAATCTCTGCCATAGGAAATACATCTGTAATACACACCTCACTGTCCTGGAATCATGTATCATGTTTTTGTGGGGACACTTTCCCCTGAGAAATAGCATTAAAAATAGGGAAAATACTTGTATTGCATAACCTTTTATCCTCATAAGTCAACTCAGTAGTGTTGTACCACTTTTGGGAAAAACTTGCGTCTCCAGGGAATTTTTCCTCCATGAGAACCAAAGTTGCCTCCAATTTTTGAATCCCAATTTGTTTTTCCTTCTTGGGAACTACTGTCACTTAAAAATACAATATATATCTGAGATATAACAAATGGTCATTGCAAAAAAATCAACCACAAAAAAATGCAAATATTAAGGAGGACAAGACACCTGTTTTTGTTGTTTCATGAGAACTTGACATAATAGCTTAACATATAGGACCAGAGTGAGTTTTAAAAACCTATTGTTTTTAACAAGACATTAAAGAAATTGACCTACTTTTGTTTAGACACTTCGATGTATAATGCAATGGAAATAAGTAGAATTGAATAGCAAGTCGATGAATTAGTAAATAAGAACATGACGCAAAATAAACATGGCTTAAGAGAATGAGAAAGATATGATGTAAAGCAAAAAATATTAAAAATATGTTATCAAGCCTTCCTACACCTCTGTTTAAGAGTGTATTCATATTAGTAAGATTAAGATATTAACTTTTTACTGAACAAGAACATCTATGTAAGAGACTAATGCTGAATATGAGCTGCAAAATTTCTTGAGTTCATTATTATGTTTAATAACTTCAGATAAAAATGCTTCAATACCTTTGTCAGGAACAGCTTCAGTTTTTGGGACTCTTTCTTGTTTGTCTTCTGTCATGTAAGGGAGAACTTTCTTTGGAACAGTTTCTTGTAGGGTTTCTTTCTGCCTAGGGATTTCTTCTGTCTTCAAACTAATTTCTTCTCTTGAAGCAGGTGATACATCTTCTACAATAAGTATCTCTTTTTCCTCAAAGAATTGCTGGGCACTCTCATACACCCTTTCATGAAGATACATTTCTTCTGTGTGAGAGGTCTCCTCAATTTCATATGAGATCTCCTCCCACTTTTGAATCAGAGGAGATGGAGCCACCTCAGGTTTCTTGGGAAGTGCCATCACTTTAAGAATCAACATAGAGATGTAACATGGAGCACATATAATTTGAAAAGCACACAACATACAAAGCACATTTTACATTTGAGGATAACATATACAGCTTTATATCTCATAAGTATACAGTTAGGGATTAGACACAGACAGATATTAAATGCAAGCCTGTTGGTGTTTTATGATACCTTTTGTGGCTGGGGGTCCTTTTTTCAATGGTTCTTTATCTATTTTTGTCTTTGGAGCAGTGGGGAAAACTTTGCCAGGTATTTTTGGAGCTGCAGATTCTTTAAAAGATATTTGATCTTTAACTCAAAGAAAGAACTATATGTCTTGCAAAAAGTACTAATACTTTCTTTTGACATTAATGTAAAATAACCAGACATTTAAATTTTAAAAATTTGGATAAAATCCTCTATGTAATAGATGCATCTGGTGTATAAATTATTCATTTCTCTTTGATTAAAATAATAATAATAATTATTATTATTATATTTTCAAAACTGAAATAAAATGAATATTTTATGCATGAAACTGAGTTTGTGGATATGTACATATAAATATGTCTATGTTGTGTCTCGTTTAACATTTACTATGGTATAAGTAGTTTTAGATAGATACTGTACAGTTTCACTTTCCTTGATTTGTCATATTTCCTAAGATATTTTAATATGTGTGAGGATGCTGAATAATGTTAAACAAAAACGTGACATAGACAAAAATAAACCACAGAGATATATAATACATGAACAAGAAATTCAACAAAGAAAAAAACAGGAGAAAACAAAGTCAGATGTTCCTGAAATGTCTGTATGGTCTTAAGCCTACCTGTAGTTAAAGTGACTTCAGCCTCCTTTGTAGGTGCAACAACCAGTAACTTCTCCTCAAGCACTTCTTTCTGTTTTACTTCAGGCACTTTAAAGATTTACATTTACATTATGAGACAAAGTTGTGTAGTTTAACCTACCTAATGCAATGGTGTAAGTGGCCCACGTAGCTCTTTTGAATTTTCCAATTAAAATGGGCATTATAATTACAGAATAATAAATGCTGCGATACTAAGTATATGTCCAGAAACTTCTATAAAATGTTTATCTGTATTACATTTGAACTATTACATTAAATATGTACATTCCCCTGGATTTGTGGTAAGCTAACACTCCCAGAACACTGGGATCAAAGATCTTAAAGAAATCCATCTTAAATATTGCACATTTTTTACACTATACGTACACTTTTAGCATGACATTGAGCAACAGAGAACATCACATAGGACAAGTAGGTACAAAACACAAGACAAGAAGAATTTAAGAATTCAAGATAAAGATCAAGACCAGTACTAGACCAATACTAATCTCCAGGTCATGTTATATGTATTATAATGATCAATCTGTACCTTTCTGTGGAATGCCCTCCTTTGGTGCTGAAGGCTTTATGCCTGGTTTTCTAGCTGCCTCTGCTTTTGACATTTCTGGTTTCTTTGCTTCCATTGGAACTTTAAAAAAGATATGTACCAAGATTTGCGGATGTTCAAATACAAAGAGAGACAGCAGATTGGACTACAAAAATATAAGCAGCACTCTGTCAAACACAAGGTTAGATGTTCCTGAAATGTCTGTATGGTCTTGAGCCTACCTGTAGTTAAAGTGACCTCAGCCTCCTTTGTAGGTACAACAACCAGTAACTTCTCCTCAAGGACTTCTTTCTGTTTTACTTCAGGCACTTTAAACATATGCATTTACATCATGAGATGAAACATTATCGTATGCTTTAATATGCTGAAGGTGTATTTTAAGGTATAGCAAACATTATGCAATGGCTCAGTATTATGCATGTTTATGTCTGTATTCCCAAGGCTGAAGGATCTGCCAGGGAATAAAGGCCAGTCCTAATGAATCCTAAGACATCTACTGTCATAAACAGTGCATGTTTCACGAAATGAAACTCAATTTTCAGCATTAGCTTCAGTTTTTATCTACTTTACATCCATATCAAGTCTAATATTTTTGGGTATAAGTAGCCCACTCAGCTATTTTGACTTTTCAAGTGTAAATTGGCCATATATTTACAGAATTAAAAATACTGAGATATCAAATATATGTTTAGGAACTTCTATAACATGTTTACCCGAGCATAACATATATTTTTTTGAATTTTTACATTAAATGCATACATTGCTTCTTGATTGCCTGATTTTAATTGATTAATAGTGCTTCTTCTGGATTTATGGAACGTCAACACTCCCTGAACACCTGTGCTACCAAAAATGGAATCAAAGGCCTTAAATGAATCCATCTTAAATGTCTTACACAGTTTTTACACTATAGACTATCAGTATGACATTTAGCAACAGAGACATCACAATGAACAAGAGGGTGTAAAACACAAGACAAGAAGATTTCAAGATAAAAATCAAGATTGCAAAAAACCAATACAAATCTCCAGGTCATATGTTATTTGTATTGTAATGATTAATCTGTACCTTTCTGTGGAATGGCCTCCTTTTGTGCTGTTGGCTTTACACCCGTTTTTTTAGCTGTCTCTGCTTTTGGTGTTTCTGGTTTCTTTGCTTCCATTGGAACTTTAAAAAAGATATGTACCAAGATTTGCAGATGTCTGAACACATACAGAGACAATGGACTGAACTACAAAAATGCAAGCAGCACTCTATCGAGTGCCATGAACAGCTGAATATCAGCGTATTTTGACACATGTCGCTTTTCTGGAATAAAATTACATACAAGAACACAAACATGCAAAAGGATTTCAATAAATTGAAACTTTGTTAATGATTGAATTTATGTACCTTTTCCTGGAGTTATCTCTGTCTTTTGAGGAGGTACGTCCTTCGGAACAATTTCCTCTTTTTTAGAAATTATTTCAGGAACTGCTTCTGGTTTCTTTGGAGCTTCTGGCACTTCAAAGAACATTTAAATACAGGCAATTGACCAAAGATTCAACAGAAGATCTAACAGAGCTGTCAGAAACTTCACACATACACACACACACACACACACACACAGGATAGGCATCAAATTTTTCACTGTTACAGAGGACATTGGACAACATCAATGCAATACAATTAAGGGTTAAGGAACAATTTCAGTCGCAATAATATATATGTTAAACATAATTTATATGTTGCACATTAAATATAAGTTAAAGCAAGTGAGAACAAAGCTGCAACATGTGCTACAGTAAAAACCGCAGTGGGAAAAATCATCAAGAAATGTTACAGATTTATATATAATCCAGATATTATTTAAATATAATAACACAAACGCAACCTATGCAAACATTCATTAAAAATGTAACTATTTTGGTATGTCACAATAAGATATTATATGAATATAAAGAGACAAAAATATCTAAGCAAAAAGATCGGTCTTTGACCTAAGCAAAAACACAAATGTTAACATTAAAATAAACAAAAAAAATATACTACACAAAGACAAAAAATCTGATGGGACATGGAAAGAGTTTCTGTATCAAAGATATGAAAAGAAACAAAATGAACTGAAGATACAATGGATCTTGTTTGTAGGCAAAATGGGTTGATGGGAGCCATGTCGTTTTTATTTTACTTAAGGAATATTCACGGCAGATGTTGTTTTTGAAATTGGATACTAATAGTTAAGTACTGTATTAGTTAAATTCTTGGTCTTAAATAATATCCAAGATGTTAGTAACAAAAGGTTAGTAACAACAGGTAAAGCAATACTGGCCCAAAGCTTCATTTAGTCATCCTATTGAGAATTCCTAATTAATACCTTTCTGGGGAGCAGCAACCATTGGAACAAATGGAACTGCCTGTGGTTTTGCAACTTCTTCCACTTTAGGTTGCTCCAGTTTCTTCTGCTCTGGTTTCTTTGTTTCATCGGGAACTTTAGAGAATATTTATGTTGTTTTGGCATTAAATTTTAAGTAAACAGACACACTAGCATACAGAAGGTTCTCATATTTCAGAAGCTAGACAAAGACAAACCAACGTATTATACGAAATACCTCTGACATTACCACATAAAATATGTAACATGAAGTACATACAAAAGACGAATGAATACCTGTGGGAGGGGGGGCCTTGGGTTTTTTTGCTGGTGCAGGCTTTGGTTCTGGTTCAACCTGAACTGGTAGTGTAGGTTTAGGTTCAGGCACAACCTGAGCTGCTGGTGCAGGCTTTGGCTTAGGTTTAAGCAGAGCTGCTGGTTCAGGCTTTGGTTCAGGTTCAACCTGAGCTGGAGGTCTGGCTTTAGTTTCTGGTGTTACAGGTGGTTTTGGTTCAAGAATCACATATGATGTAGGTTCGGGTACATCTTCAGACAACAGAATATGCATTTATTAGTTCAAAGCAAGACAAAGTCCTTGCGACAAGAGCTTAAGCTATGAGAACATCAACAGTCATAAACATTTGAAGACTGGATTTTGTATAACAAAGCTGATACAACACTGACCACCACTGAAATTTTTTTGGACATAAATACAGTAGGTCACAAAAGAGCAATCTAAATTACAAAAAGAATGAAGAGAATATTAAAAATAAAATCACTGACACGAAAGAAACAAGAATCCAAAACAAAGAACAGACCCAAATAAAACATATGGAGAACACAAGACATATCAACAAAGGTAATATAGCATATGTAATATAGAAGCACTATTAAAGAGCATGTACCTTTTTTAGGAGTAACCTGATCTTTTTCAGGAATGGAAGGAATAGCAGCACCCTGGGGAACAGGCTTCTTGACCTCTTCATATTCTTTTGTTTGTAAATATATACATAAAAAGATATTTCTGATTACAATGTTCACAAACTACTGCAATCATACAGAAATAACATAGACCACTTTAAATATTTAGAAAATATACAGGACAGAGACAGTAGAAAGGGTGGAAATTCAATCAGAACTTCAATAAGAAAACATACATGCAAATACAATACAAATAACAAAAAATATTTCAAACAGAATATAAACACAGGAACATTAGAATCACAGAACAAAACAGGCATTTAAAATAAGACAAAAACAAATAACATTTATGAATGTACCTTTTGGCTCAAGGCGGTCTCTTTGTTCAGGAACAACTATTGCAGTAATTTCTTCTTGAACAGGCACCCTGGTTACAGGTACTTAAAAATATAATTCCACATAAGTTTCGGCTTGTTAGACAAAATTAAAATCAGAAACTATACATGTACTGACACATCATTTGAAAAGAAGCATCACAGTAAGAATCTTAAACAAAATAACAAAATAAAGAAAAATCACATTATAGTGAAAAGACATAAGACAGAGAAATTTATGCAAATACCTTTTGAGGGTACCTCAGGCACAGACGGAACGGCGGTTTCAAGCTCTGGTTTCTTTGGAACCTCAGGAACTTCAACAACATTTGCTTAATTAGACAACTGCAACAAAGCTTAAGTTAAGGTAAACATCCATGCACAAGCCTGTTTAAATTAAGTGTTTTATCAGCCTCTTGGCATGTAAAACAACCCACGAAGAAAAAGCAGCACAGATTTCAAAGCAGAAGACAGAGTTTTACAATAAACAATAAATTCATTCAACAAAAGAAAAAAAGAGAATGTCAGATTTGCAAAGATGTTAAATATTTGCTAAATGAGAGGCTGCTGACAGCAACTTGGAATAAATATGTAGCTGTTAACCATGACTGACAGAAGCAGTTATTCTACAATACCTTTAATTGGCGCTTCTTTTCTCTCTCCTATTTCAGCCCTTGGAACTGTTTCCTCAATAGGGATTCTTGGTGCTGATAAAACAATAAATAATAAAGTTTTCATTGAATTACAGACAAATATTCATACAAAATACATGCTGTTCAGAACAACTAGCTCATAAATAACAGAGAAAGAAACAAAACCTGAGGAATGTAAAGTAAAATGTAACACATACCAACTAAATTGCATTTCATGATGGATTACACAAAACATCAACAAACAAAATAAGACAAAACACACATCGTGTAGCGAACAAGAACACAATAAGAAAATAAAGTATGAAATGCAACAATATAAATTAGGGAATGATGACTCTGGCCAAAAATAGACACTGTTAATATGACCACAAGGACAAGGTGATTTGGATGACACATTTTTATTATACCTTGAATTGTAGAGAATTCCTGAATTACTCTTTGTTCTTCAACTGTCCAGCTTTCAAACTCTAAATAAGTAACAATTCAAGATAAATACATTCAAATCAAAAACTGAAAGCCAAAAATAATTGAGTAAGACTTGGAAATACTGGTGAGCGAAAAAAAAATGTAGGCATCTTTAGAGCCTAAATAACAGTTAGCTGAAACTGTTTGAAGTCCTTGTAAAAACTTTATTCAAAAAATGTTATTCGAAAAATAGATGATTATTAGGTTGACCACCGCAAGCATTTTAGTAGAAGTAGTTTTAAAAATCCAAGATGATACTTAGATGAACAAAAAAAAAAAGATTGCCCAAAGACATGCAATTAAGCTAACTGACATTTCAAAATTGCTCATAGTGTATGATTGCGTGTATGTATGTGCCATATGATGGATCTTGTGTGGGGAGTACCACAGTCTTCTGTCCTATGCTGCCTGGAACAGGCTCCAAGCCCCCTCACATTTATGATCAGAATAAGTGGTTAGAAGATGGATGGATGAATGAATGGATAAATAGTTGGATTGATGATTGTTGTTATGGATTACTGCCATTAATAATTAATATTATTTAGAGGGTGTTTTTTTCAATCATTTTACCTCTAACTTCTGTCTTCTCTTCATAATAATCAAAAGAAGCCTCAACTTTAATAGAAAAGACATCCTCGTGAGTTTTTCCACATATTTTCAATAAAATCATTATAATGTAAATCTAAGCTTAGAGATTAGGTTTCTTATTCACATTGATTTATTGCCAATTCATTAACTACATTTCCAATTCTTACCTTTAGAGGTGACTGTAGATGACACCTCAGGAACTTGTATAGTTGAATCATGGATATCTGAGAGAAGTTAAATTTCTATTAACTTAATATCTAAAGGAGTAAACCCAATGTCTACATGTAATTTGTGAGCAATTATTCAAATAATCTTAAGTTTTAGAGGTTTCCTATCTGAACTAAGAATACTCACCATAGGAAACCCTTTCTACCTCAATGTCTGTGAAAGAAGGAGGTAAAATATTATGTCACAGCATCTGAACCAGAAACAGTATATAACGACACAGAACACTGCCCAGCTCACATTGGTACAGACCTTTGCTGGACAGGTAAAGTTCAGCAGTGCTTTTAGCTTCACCTTTTGGCTCCAACCTCACAATCACAGAATACACGCCTAAAAGATTACCAATGAAGAAGACTGAGTTTATCGGAATACTGTTTATCGAGAATATTTATTGGAATTCCGAATAGCTATCTGACTTGACCGAACACACCTTCATCTTCTGAAGTAACGCTGCGGATGGTCATAAAGTAACGACGACCTTCACTTCGAAAGCTGTACTTTGGACTCTCTTTGAGTTCCCATGTGCCTTTGTACCACGTAACAATAGCATTGTCAAAGGAGACTTCACATTCAAAGGTGGCGGACTGGTGTTCGTTCACCACAATGTTCTGGATACGCTTGGTGAAATGGATTTTGGTAGCTAAAACAGATAATCGGGTTTTATTAGGATGATACCTTGTTGACTATACCAAAATCTTATTTTTCATCTGTTCATTTCATTTGATATAAAAAGAATGAAAAATGTATAGAATGAAATTGAAAAAAGAAAACGAACAGCCATTTTGACCAATAAAAAAATCCGAGCATCAGCAAATGAGAAGACAGATCAGTAGTGCAACCAAAAAAAAAGATCCACATACATTTAAGTAGAGTATTAAAAAAGAAAAATTGCAGAATACAAGAGCAAAAAAAGAAATAACATATAAAAGAGGTTAGTATACTCCTTAAAACACAGTATTAGTATGCTCACCTTTATGTGACACACAAAACCTATGGAATACAAACCTTTTACCTAAACATCTGCAATGATTGAAATAATATCAGGCAAAGGATGCCTTCAAATTTTTGAATCTTCAAATATAATGTGTCTGCCTCTGGATCTTGCCAGCTTTAGAATTTTTCAATCTGTTCTGAAGTAATACAAGCATTTCTAAGCCTCCACTTTTCAATATTTGGAATATAAATGTATTTGCTTACCAGGTACAGGTTTCAGGTGTTCCTCAACTTCAACTGCTTTGGGGAAAAAAGAGTAGGGAAATGTAACTAATGTTCTATATGAATTTTATAAATTCATGGAAAACATAAATTAATGGATTCTTCAAAAAGTAGAACTGACAGAGGACACTTACCCACAACGGCTAATTTAGCACTGGAAATGTGTGGGCCACACACAATGCGGTAATTTCCCTCGTCACTAGATTTACAGTTCTTGATTTTCAATAAGTGACGATCACCTACAATGCTGATTTCATATTTTTCATCAGTGTCAAGCTTCTGAGTTCCTTTATACCAAGACAGACGGATCTCAGGGAAGTTGATCTTGATTTCACACTCAAACACTGCCTCCTTGCTTATGACTGTGGTTTGGTCTGTGATGTCCTTCAACACCGTGATAGGCTGCAAAAAAACATAACCTTATATGACCTTTAGGATTTATTTATAGTAAAACTATAAAAACTTCCACAACAGTTTCCACAAAAGTTTTGCAGCTTAAAGCATTTCCTAGAAAAGTGTGCAAGTAATTTCTTCCATGCATATTTATTAATAAATTTCTTTATATACAATAAATTTGTTTGTACAGCCCTGGTACAGTTTTGTTCTCCAAGTTACAAACAACATTAATGTACCCTCAATGGTACAAAAATGTTCCCAGAGTCCGTTTCTGTACCTTAAATCTACATTTGCCTATAGTTAGGGTATTGTTAGCACACCCTTTAGGGTACAGCCACAAAGACAAGTAATTGTACCCTCGAAGGTACAAATTGGCACTTTTTCCTAACATTGTACGAAATACAGTGGTACCTCAGAACTCAAACTTAATCCGTTCAGAACTCGGGTTCGAATCCTAAAAAGTTTGAGTTCTGATCGAATTTTCCCCATAAGAAATAATGTAAAAACAATTAATTGGTTCCCAGCCCCCAAAAATTACACCTAAACATGTTTTTTTTTTCATTTAAACACAAAATGAACAGAATAAAACAAGAAGAGCATTTTTTCTTAATGGCTTCCAAAACGATAAAGAATGTACCCCAACACTACCCCTGTCTTGCCCCGATTGTCCACTCCTTCCGTGTGCCACACCCCCTCATTAACCTCGTGTGGAATCCCTGTGTGATCAGCTGTTTCTGGTTGTTGTCATTAGTCCTCTGTATTTATTCCGCGTTTCAGTTTGTTTCCCCAGTCCGGTCATTGTAACGTCATTGTGTTCTGCCTGTTCTCAATTAAACGATCGCTTGAGTCCTGTCCCTGCTTCCCCAGTCCCGGCTCGGCAGATAGTGACAACCCCAAGCCATGCCCCAACACTGGGCCAACACTAGACTATGCCATGCAGTCCATTGATTATTTTTATTATTATTGTGTATTCGTTAATTTGTTTGTAAATCACAAACTTTTAGGTTGTAACATTTGTACAACTATTGCGTAACTTTTTGGTAAGCAATGGCTACCAAAATGATATAAAGTATTACCTAATACCGTATTTTCAATTAGAAAAGCACTATCACCAACAAACGATGCTATCACAGCTAATGGGAGGCTGAGACTGAAGCGTTCCCCTTTGTTTCCGCTGAGAGGTGTGCCGCGTGACTCATTTCCCTGCGCATACAAGTTATCTTAGGGCGGCGTTCACGGTTCGTCTTCTGAGATTCAAATCGAGTACTAGGTTATTTCTTTTCGAACTGCTTGGTTCAACTTTTAAGAAATTAGAGTTCTAATGAGTTCAAGAACTGAGGTACCACTGTATATTTTAAAACTTTCGCCTGTCTTACCTCTGTCTGTTCCATTCTGGTTTGCAACTCCGACACCAGTTTTTCCAAATCCTCATCTGATTTCCTTCTTTCTAGTTCAGCTTCCTGAATCAAAAAAAACATTCATAGAATTCACATTTGAAGATTTTTCTTAAATTCTGGTTGATATTTCATAAAAAGCATTTTATAATTACTTTTACTCTCATGTACCTTTGTATCAATATTTTGTTGGAAGTAGGAAATACAAAACAATACAGTACAGTAAAATTCTCTCACCACTCTTCCAGTTTCATGTTCTTTCTCCTTCTTTAGAAACTCAATAGCCTGAAGGAGACCACGGAAGTCTGTAATTCCATACATGCGGGCATATTTCTCATATTCTTTTGGATCTACGTTTCTCAGTAGCTCAACAATATCAATCTCCTGGGTTTCCTTTGGACTCTTCTGCTTTGATGGAGTTCTATTAAAAAGGAGAGTTAGTCAAGAACATTTCTGGTGTGACAGTTTAAACTTGCTAAACTTTTCTAAAGGAGAAATAGTCTGATTTTTCAAAAAGCAGCAAATTATCATTATAGCACACTTACTTCTTCAATTTAGCTCTTAAGTCTCCTTCAAGAAGTGCAGCCTCTTTCTTTTCTTCAACTTTCAATTCTGTGCTACATTCAATTTCTCCATGCTTGTTGGATGCAACACATCTGTACTGCCCAGAGTCTGATTTGGTCAATGCTTGGATTTCCAGCTTGGCATCCTGTCCCTTTTGTTCAACAGTGATGCGACCACCATGACTGATCTGCCTCCACTTGCCTTTCATCCATTTAATGGTAGGAATTGGGTCTCCACCAACCTTGGCAAAGAATGTTGCGGTGCCCTCTAGAATTAAAGCAGTGAAAGTATACTTGNCCTTTCATCCATTTCACATTAGGAATTGGATCACCACCAACTTTGGCAAAGAATGTTGCTGTGCCCTCTGGATATAATGACATGATAAGAAAGAGAATAAGAGAGAGGTTAATTGTACCCTCAATGTGGATTCCCCTATTGTAGAGCTAATTGTAGGTTTATCTTTATTAGGAAAACAGAAGTTCTTTACTTTCATTTGCAGTAAGACTCTTGGGTTCATCAATGAAGAATAAGTTGTCCAATTTCTTAACAGGCTTTGCAGCTGCTGGGGCTGCTTCAACAGCTGCTGGTGCTCCTGGTTTATCTAAATAAAATAACATAATTTTTTATTGAATTTTTAAAGAGTGTATGCAAAAGACAAAGAGACTAGAAAAAAAAATTAAATGAAAAAATGAATAATGTACAGAGGATCAAAATGCAAATACATTTTAAAAATAACAAAGCACATACACATCAGAATAGCCCTTCCCGCACCCAACCCAACCTGGAGAACACAGTCAAGCCTGTAATGGTGTTTCCTGCTGTAGACAGCAGTTGGACTTTCCTTGTAAGATCTACTTGCCCCTACTTCACCATTTGTTGCATAAGATTAAATCGAAAACATCAATGAAATGTATGTAAAGGTTTCTTCATACCCTGTCAGAGCACTGCAAAACCTTTTTAAGTGGAAGTATTTTTAAAAATCTCCTCATGCCATAGCTCCATTGAGGGAAGTTTGTCATTAGCCTAGTTAATCAAAATCCATTTTAACTGATAATTTATAACTTTTGGGCTAAGTGGATATTAGAAGATGTCAGTATCCTGAATAACCATAGTGAGTATCTATAATGAAGAACGATGGGCTATCATGTATAGCCAGAAAGCTTTCATAATTTCTTTCCGGCCATATTCCAAATTTTAAATGTTAATGGAGAGAAACAGAAAAAATGACTATGTGTTTGAAGAAGGCTTACATTTATGGAAACGAGATGGTCTTTTTGGATTTCTTTAAGAATATAAGTGGCACAATATAAATGACAAAGACTTTACAGCATTTCCCTAGATTTGAAACAAGTAAACATGCAAAATGTTTAGTAATACAGGTATCGGTATGTCTAACAATAAACTCTGAAATGTTAATATTAATTTCCTTGGTTAAGTTTTTAAGTTTCTTGCTTTAACAGATCCTCCACAGGAAGGAAAATGAGAGGGAAAGGAGAAAGAAATCATTTTCAAAACAAAGTGTTTGACTTGAAAGTATGAAAAAGAATTGCTGTTTTGAGATGACAAATTAATCTGGCAGTTGTTGAAAAGACAATAGTGTGTTTCCATATATCAGTGCAAAAGAAATATTATTCCCCTTTTATATCACTGATGATTTTTTAAGGCATTATGATGAGAATCATGAAGAGGAAAAGCATCTCTTAAAAAAATTGGTTATGTTTCATCTGTAAAATAGCTTTCCCCAAATGCCCAGTAAGGAGAGATAGCAGAAAGAGCAATTATGTCTATGTGGAGTTACGTGCCCATATTTATATAATGTGTGTGTCACGCCCCGCTCCGTCCGCTCCCGATGTGTGCCACGCCCACCTCATTACCTCCTGTTTCGCCCTAAGTGTTCCCACCTGTAGCTCGTTCTCTGTTACCTAGTCTTGTGTATTTAGTCCGAGTCTCAGTCTGTATTCCCCAGATCTGTCATTGTGTAGTGTCCGTTGATGTTCGTACCTGTACGTCTGCCTTCTATTAAACCCCGTTACCCTGACTACCTGGCTACGCTCGCCTGCTTCCTGCCTGCCCAACTCGCGAGCGTGACAGTGTGAGATTTGTTTTATAATTTATACTAAATAAAAAAGGGGAGGTGTTACTATTTCTCACCCTTCTTTAATTAGAATCTTAATTATCATTGTACAAATACAACGAAATTGGCTTTAAAGTAAATGCAAATTTTTTTTTTAATGAAAAATAATGTCTAGAACTGTTTATATATGGTACCTTTTACAGTCACTTTGGATTTGCAGAATTCACTTCCAGCATCATTGGTGGCCTTGCACAGATAGTCACCAGCATCTGTTTTAGATGCAGAGCTTATTTCCAATGTAGCTGTGCCATCAACAAAAGTAATCCTAGTCTTCGCAGAAGATGTTATCTCTTTCCTGTCCTTCATCCACTGAATATTCATTGGTAGAGATCCCCGAACATGACAGCTCAAATGCAGCTTCTCACCCTCGTTAATTGATAATGGTTTGAGGGGCTGATCAAACACAGGGGACATCTTACGTTCTGTATTGGGAGAGAAGAGTGGTAACTCCTAATATACATTTCTAAGAAAATCAATCTAAGAAAAGCATTAGGAGATAAAAGAGGGTGAGAACAATTGACCAATGAATTGAGTAAGAAATAAGGAAAAAATTTTAAGTGAAATAAAACCAATCAGTAGAATTCCATTACATAGTACAAAACTAAACAAAACAAAACAACCCTACCTGTTATAGCAAGAGACACCTGATAGGAGGATGTGCCAGCTTCATTGGAGGCTTGGCAAGTATAAGTGCCACGGTCAGAAAGCTGAGCTCTCTTAACACCCAGCAGAGCTACGTTGTTCTTGAAAGAAATTTCATAACTGTCAGAGCTGTAGATTTCACTGCCATCCTTGTACCAGCTAATGCTTATGGGCTGGGATCCAGACACACGTCCTTCCAGCTTCACAAGGTTCCCCTCAGCATCCTCAATACTTTCAGAAGGTTTTTTTGTGAATGACGGTGGAGTTTTGCGCTCTGGAAAGGGAACAAGTAAGTCTGATTGCATGCATAAAACATGAAAAATGAAAATCAAGGAAAGTTGGGAAGAAGAGCGTCAAAGGCAAATTAAAATGCATTACTACAATGAAATTTAAAAATATAAAAAAATAAGAGCTATCCAACCACATGATGTGTCAGAAAGAATGCATCAGTATAAAATACCTTTTACAGAAACTTGAGTGCTACAAGTGTCCTTCCCAATATCATTGCTAGCATGACAATAATACTGGCCAGAATCTGTTTTATCCGCCTTCAAAATTGTCAGATGTGGTGTGTTATCCACACACGAAATTTTATAATTTCCTGCTGCACGAATATCTTTTTGATCCTTTGACCAAGTCACTTTAATCGGTAAAGATCCTGTCATATGACATTCAAGGTCCACACTGTCTCCCACAGAAACTTCCACAGGTTGCAGCTTTTTATCAAAGACTGGAGGATATCTTGGCTCTAAAAGTTAATTGGAAGAGCAAGCATGTGTAAATATGCATCAAAGAAGAGATCTGACTACTGAAGAGTTCCATTTCAAATTTAAACAAACCTTGCAGTGTGAGCTTTGCTCTACAAGATGCTGTTCCAACACTATTGGTAGCAACACAGGTATATTCACCAGAATGTTTCATTTCACCTCTGGATATTGTTAGAACAGCAGTGTTATCATCAAAAGACATTGAGTATTCATCATTTTCCTTCAAAGGTTCACCATCTTTAAGCCAAGAAACCTCCAAAGGAGAAGACCCTGCAATACGGCACTCAAATCTAGCTGGCTGGCCTTCAGTCTGCTGCAGACTCATTATTTTCTTGGGAAAGGAAGGTGGTGTTTTAACATCTGAAATAGAATTAAAATTCAACAAACAGAATTTATATCGGTCATGATTGGAAAAAATACATTGTAAAACTGTTAAAAGGAAATAAAGATTTTGTCATGGAAGTTTCACCTTGGACTGTTAAACGACAGCTTGAGGAGGCTGATCCAATGCTATTTTCTGCTTTAAATGTATACTCACCAGCATCAGTTTGGACAGCTTTACTTAATTTCAAAGAGGCAATGCCTCTAGTAAACTCTATTTTACAAGCAGCAGAGGATCGCAGTTTTCCATCTGCCTTAAACCAGGAAACCTTTATTTCAGGTGTGCCTCCAATATGACATTTCAAACAAACTGTATCTCCTGCAGTCACATCCATTGGTTCCAACTTTTCAATAAAGTAAGGGGGTTCTGAAGCAAAAATGCACAACTGATGTTAAAAGAAATTCAACTGTTTCACAAAAGTAGTTATTTTAATCAAAGAAAAAAACTAACCTAATATAGAGACTTGTGCATGACACGAATCACTTCCCACTTCATTAAAAACTTGACAGGAATATCTCCCACTGTCATCTTTGTCAGTGTTGAGACACTCCAATATGCAGGAGCTCTCTGTGGTCGTGATGTTATATTTATAAGAGGAAAAGATCTCGTTATCATCCTTAAACCATTTTACTTGTATTTCCGGGCTTCCAGCATATGCACACTCAAGCAGCAACATTTTTCCTATTTCAACTGCAAGATCCTTCGGTTTCTTCACAAAATATGCAGGTTCTAAATTAAACAAGAAGAGAAGTAATTAGATCATTGTGAATGGAAATGTTGAACCTTCCGAAGACAAAATGAGACATTACAAACTTCATTTGAAAAAAGAAACGTGTTTACCAACCTTTTATAAAAAGATTAACAGAGCAATCATCCATTCCAGCATCATTGCTGACCTGACATGTATAATCTCCAGCATGGGACTTGGCTATTTGAAACAGTTCAAGAGTGGCTGTATCACCCCGTAAGGCAATTGCACAACCTTTTCCAGATATAATTTCTGCACTACCTCTGAACCATTTCAGTTTTAGTGGGGCACTTCCTTTTACAGTGGCTGAAAAAGTAATGTTTGTGCCAGGTAGCACTTCCATATTTTGTGGTTTTTCAATAAATGAGGGAGGTTCTAAAAAAAGAGAAAGCATTTTCATAATGTAGAAAATTTGATCTCTTCTGTGAAATTCCAACAGATGCAATATGTTGTATAAATGTAGAATAATGCAAAAAACATAAATTTTTACTGACCTCTGACAAATAAAGAGGCACTGGTCTCACTGGCCCCAGCTGAATTTACAGCTCTACACAAGTACATCCCAGAATCTGGCAGTTTAAGACTGGGTAGGTTTAGCAGGCAGGTGTTGTCAGAGAATGTAACCTCATGGTTTGGTCCACTTACTATCTCTTTTCCATCATGAAACCAAGAAATGGTTAAAGGTTGTGATCCTGAGACTTTACAGTCCATCTGACCAGGTTTACCAAGTATCATTCGAGTATCATTCAATTTTCGTATAAATGTAGGCGGTAAGATTTTATCTGTTAAAAAAGATTTTAAGTAAAGATGAGCTCAAACGAAAACTAAAGTAAATGCAATAAAGAAGAGCAGGACAATATGTGAAGAACTTTCACTGACCTAGGACAGTAAGATATGTTTTGCAGGTATCACTACCAACTTCATTTGAAACTTCAAATGTATATTCTCCAGTATCTTTAGTTTCTGCTGACAGAATCTTCAGAGTGGAAATCATTTTTGAAAAGGTAATTTTGTATTTTTGTCCAGAGGATAACTCTGCACCATCTCTAAACCATTTTGGTTTCAGCTCTGGTGTCCCAGTTACTGTAAATTGCAATATAGCTGTGTCACACGCTGTGACACTGAATGACTCTAGTTTATCCAGAATTGAAGCTGGTTCTGCGAAGAGGGAAGAGCACGTTTATATTGGGAACATATCAAAACCCAATCTCAAAAGATTTTCACAACTGCCCTAAACATTTACCAACCTAGAACAGTCAATTTTGCAATTGACTCCACTGATCCAGCATCATTTTTAACCTGGCAAATGTATTTGCCAGAAGACAAAACATCAGTCTTAAAGATTCTCAAAGTAATCTGGTTGTCCTCAAAGGAAATCTTGTGGTTTTCACTATCTCTCAAAACATTATCTTTATCTCGCACCCAAGAGATAGTCATTGGTTGGAAACCTTTGACAGATGCAGCAAACATTGCTTCTTCACCACAAATGACTGAGAGATTAGACAATTTCTTCACAAATGCGGGTGGTTCTACATGAAAGAGAAAAATAAATATTAGACACCTGACAATGCAATAAAGCATGCTAAACTGAGAATGGATACCTTTTGTTTAACATCCAGGATTACTAACCTCTAAGCTTAACTGTGCCAGTACATGTTGCGCTCCCAACATTGTTTGATGCTTTACACTGATATTCACCAACATCAAAAGCCTCCAGATTCAGAATATGAAGAGTAACAGAGCAACCCTCATTTACAAACTTGTACTTTCTACTGTCCTTAAGGGTTTTTTTGTCTTTATACCATGTTATCTCAAAGGGTGCTGTGCCAAGAAGTTCACATTCTAGACTGACATTTCTGCCCTTCACACCATCCACAGGCTGGGGTTCTTTGAGGAAAGATGGTGGTTCTAAAAAAAAAAGATTATATTATTAAATAAGCACTAGACACTGAACAAAAGTTAGCAAAAATCACAGAGTAAATAAAAAACAAGAATAGTTATTTAGAAAAAAAGGCAACACTTTATATTAACTGCGCCTTCATAATGCTTTGAAAGAGCATTCATAAGCAGCATGTAAGTATACCTTAACATACCTTATTAGCTTTAATATACACTAATAAACAATATATGATAATAACAAACATACTCGGTTGTTATATATAAAATAGAAATTTGATAGAATTGTATTATATTCCACACCAACTATATTATGAAAAATAATTATATTTCAATGATTTGTATCCATTAAAATTTTTCAAACCGATAAATGCTAATTGTTGTACATCTCATAAAAATAATATTAAATTCTTTCTAAGGCCTTGTCCACACGTAAATGGGTATTTTTAAAAACGTAGCTTTTCGATGCATTTTGGCCTTTCGTCCACATGCAAACGGTGTTCAGTTCATCACTGAAAACGGATCTTTTGTAAAACCCAGTCCAGGGTGAAGAGTTTCAAAAACTCTGTTTTCAGTGTCAACATGTAGACAGAGAAAACAGAGTTTTTGGCTTGTAACATCAGATTGTGGGCCGATGTCCACTTTACTTGATATCAGAGCATGCACCATTCGCTGTTTACATTAGCTGTTTTTTGGCCTAGGAGAACTGGTAATAAGGTTTCTGATTGGCCAACATGGCTTTACAGTTAAATTTATATCTCCCCCTTTTGTTTTGAGCATGCGCTTTTATGTAGAGGGAGATTTTTTTTTAATAACAGAGGAGAAAAACACTGTTTTTAAAAATACCCATGTACATGTGGACCACGGCTAAGGGTTATTTACATGGATAATTATATTTATATACCTTTAATGGTGAGTGTAGTGCTACAACTGATACTCCCAGCATCATTCTGAACTTCACATGTGTAGACTCCACTGTCCTCAAGTTTTGTGGTGGGAATTTCAAGAACTGCCA